CCCCCCCATACACTGTTAGATCTAAGCAGGAGCAACATTTTACCATGTATAGCCCTACTAGAAATGGCTAGCGAGTGGCGACAATAAAAATCTGAAACATATAATATTGAAAGGATCAGCACAATTGGGTTTTAAGAAACGTTTTGTTTTGGATAGCGGTCGTTTCTCCTAGCTAAATATCTTTTCTTGTCGCTATTTTTCGTGTTGAATTCTGTAAATATTTTTTGAGTATAAAACCACTGTGAGCTCTTTTGGGGCGAACATCTACATAAAGTTTATGTAACAAATGACCAAATTTTTATCGATTTTCAGATCTACCTAAATGGTCCATACGGAACACCATCCACAGATTTTTCTGAGGCTGAACATGCAGTGTTGATATCCAGCGGTATTGGAGTAACGCCATTTGCATCAATTCTGAAAACCATTATGTTAAGATACCAACATGCATCCCATTCCTGTCCGAAATGTTCCTTCTCTTGGGTTGGAAATGTACCATATACACTGAGGAAATTACAAAAGGTTAGAAATATAGTTCAAAGTCCATTGTGAAATCATGAATAATACATGCACCCAATTTACCAATTAAATTTCAAAGCCTGCACCACATGCATGTATATGTAGGCCCTTACAAATGAATAATATCAATTATTTATAACAAGAACTAATGATTGCAAAACCGAGTCCAACAAACGAGTCTAACATTGTTGAACCAACAATGTTGGACGATGTTCGACATTGTGGGATGAAAATTTTTTAAAAACAATTCAACATCAGCCAACATTACCCAACATATTGTGTTTAAACGTGGCCAATAATGTTGCACCCAGGGGGGCCGTCGGACGTCGGTCAGGCGAATTCCAACAATTAGATGGACCAATTTTGTGCCCCCCCCCCCTCCCAATGATAATTTGCTTCCGACACTGAACGGCTTGAACGTTGTGTGCAGATCTATATATTGGGTGAATTGATTCTTATTGCTAGTTGTTTGCATCTGCATGTTGTGAAAAATTCAAACAGATTATGTGCAATATTTAACGTTAAATTCCACCTAACCTTATATATTTTTAAGCATTGACATATGTTAAACCAACTGTTTTGTACGATTTTAGGTGGATTTCTTTTGGATAAATCGTGATCAATATTCATTTGAATGGTTTCTAAGTTTGCTGAGAGAACTTGAAGTTCAGCAATCTGAACATGAAGGTGTTTTTAGTGAACATTTCTTAGATATGCATATCTACATGACTTCAGCTTTACGAAAACAAGATATGAAAGCTTTAGGCTTACAACTCGCGCTTGAATTACTTCACGAAAAGAAAGAACGAGATTTAATCACTGGTTTAAGAACGAGAACTAACGCAGGAAGACCTGACTGGGAAGAGGTTGGTTTTAACAATAACAGTTTCTTAACTTACTGTTTTTAATTTAATCACAGCTAATAGACCTTTCTCATAATGACGTCAAACGCGGAAAACCAATTTATGCATTGTCCCACAGGTCAATGCAAGTCGTTGTCGAGCCAATAAATAGACCTTATGCATAATGACGTCACAAGGCTTGATGCCCGCAAGGAATTCTGGACTTAGTAGTTATCGCCCGGGAAAATTTCTAAAGTCGCCATTTTGAATTGTTTAATTTTTCCGGGCGATGACTACTAAGACCAGCATTCCTCGCGGGCATCAAGCCTTGTGACGTCATTATGCATAAGGTCTATTTCATAAAAACATCATTTGCACTGTCCCTTGGGACATCGCATTAAGTGTTTTTCCGCGTTTGACATCATTACAAGAAAGGTCTATTGTTAGCTTTCAAGTTTCATGTAATATTTCAAATCCGACTATAAGGACTGGACTAGATTTCAATTTGATCACGTCCGAGGCGAAGCCGAGGACTGGATCAAAATGCGAGGACTTAAAGTCTAGTCTGGTCCGAATTGAAGGATTTGAAATGACATCTCATACGAATAAATCACTACTTAATTAATTTTGATCCAGTCCTAGGACAGGATCAATATACTTCATCAGGTATCCAGTATTATTATGTGAGCAAAATAAAGCAATATAGTTGCCAAATTACTCATGAATTATTGAGTTTGAGATGCAATTTTAATGGTTGCTCCTTTCCGTATTGTCATGTAAATTAAGGCTGGAGCCGAGTATTACTGATTCGCATTTTGTACTTCAACCGAATTGAAACGTGTCACAGTTTCAAAACGTTAATTCGACTTTAGTGCGCGTGTAGGTGTTAAATATTGAGTCTATCAGTAAAGGTTTTACACAGCAACAACATCAAGCTTTTAGCTGTCCAATGATACCTTTTGTGTATCGACATAAAGGAAAATGATAGAGAATATAGTGAATCGAATAAAAATTGCCGTTTGAAATCGGTTTATTTGTATTTGGTAATTTGTAATTTTTGCTTGGAATGATATGCAAAAAAGATATAAAAAATGAAATCAGTGCATTCAATTTTGAGCGCACAAGAGAACGCGAAAAATGTTGGGTTACCTTTTTTTTATACACCCTGCATTTTTTGTCAATTTCATTAGTTCCGCTCAAGTGCTCCCGAAACAGAGAAATACCGTCCAGTGGAAACTGCCTTACGTATTTTACTTTGTACACATCAAATATATACAACCACAAACATTTATTGCCCCCTTGAGGGCGAGAGTAGTATGTAATGGGATATTTAGGCCCGCTCGCGCACGAGACTCGTGTGGATGAATTGGTTTCGCCTCGCGTTAATACGGATACATGAAACCGGTCGAATTCCAGCATAGCTAACTGTACGAATTCAAGACCTAATAAAATTAGATCTCGTTTTGTACTGGAATAGCTCCTCAATTAGACGCCGTCATGCGAATAGAGGAACCGGTCTTTTTGAAGACCATTTTGCACAGTAGAGGATTGGGATTGCAATTCATCCAGTTCCGTGTGACCTTCGTGTGAGTACGGTTGTGTTAACATAGACGTAGGCCTGTTTTATACGTCGAATGCGATTTCGGTCGCGTCGAATGCAATTCAAACAATAGATATTGAAGCTTAATGAGGTTTATCATCTCATTATCTGTTGTCTTAATTGCATTCGACGCGACCAAAATTCGACGTATAAAACAGGCGTTAAACACACGCACAATTCAATGAATTTGGAACGCTAAAAAATAAAACGCTAATTAAAAACTTAAAAATAAAACTAATTAATAAAACTTAATAATACTAAAACTTGATAATAAAACTTAAAAATAAAAATAAGTTAAAAATAAAACGCTAATTTAAAACGCTAAAAAATGTTGATATAATTCTTGTGGTAACAATTAATTCTGCAATTATTTTGTATTACTAGGTGTTTTCAGAACTAAAAGCCATGGAGTATGGACACATCACAGTATTTTACTGCGGAAATGCTGCCCTTGGAAAGATACTAAAGAGTCTTTGTCAAAAATACCATTTTGGATTTAAAAAGGAGAATTTTTAAATTTCTGTTCATTTTAAAAACGTTGAGTACATAGTGTAAAGAATACTATTGCAGAATTAGACGTCGCGTTCACGCTACGCCGGTGCGACATTGTTTGAAAACGTCACTTTTGTCGTAACAATTTGAACACGGTTTCTAAACGGAGCGAGATGAAAACGGAGTGCTTGGCGGCGGCGTGTGAACAGTAACACCGTCTTATCTTGCTCCACTTTAGCATTTTTTATTATTTTTGCTTTGGTATCTTTTTATTACTATTTTTAGTTAAAATTTTCACTATTTGAGTTCGTTTTGCGACCGGCTTGGTGTGAACCGACGTAACACATGGCGTCATTATTTCGCTCCGCCGTTGTGTGTTTGTATAGTCTTAGACTATGTTTGCCCACATGACAAACAAGAGTTTGTCCTAGAAGTGATTAAATCTCTGCATTAAAATTTTTCGATTTTATCTACAGCACCAAGTTAATGATGTTCCAAACTGAAGTCATATGATTTCCATGCTTCTCTTGATTAACCATAATCAAACAAAAATTTCAAATCCTAGAACAAACAAGGGGGGTCAGATCTTGTAATTGTCGATAAATCGAATATTACCGTTAGTTATGTGCATGCTCTTGCTTATAAGATATTGCACAGCACACTCCCTGTCAGGGTTTTTCAATGACTGCTTACATTGTGAATAGATAGAACCGGAACTGACGTGAAGCAGACCGAGGTAGACTGTGAGCTTACAAATGGCGCTTTAAGCAGCCGCTATTAGTCCATACCTCATTAATGGTCTGCCCCCGACCTATAATTGTGATTCAGCATGAAAATTAAGTGGTTGGCATTTCCGTCATTCCAAAAAATAACCTTTTACTGATTATGTTTCAAAATTCTAATACTGCATGCGCATGTAACAATTTATTATTAATTCACTGTATTCAATGACTTTATACTATAGTGAAATAGAAAAATCAATTAGCATTTCATGCATTTGCTTTTCTCCAGACAACACCAATAATAGTTCCTTTTGCTATTTTCCTTTTTGAACTTTTTTTCATTTAACTTTCCATGTTGTTGTTCTTTTCAAAACTCAGTGAGTTGGAGGGAAAACTTGGTCTCAAAACAGCGTATATTCCTGAACAATCAATGATGATGATTAATTTTTTGACGAAAGTATTGCTAGCTAAACGACTGCCATTGCTAGCCAAATGTATTGCTCCATACTTCTTCTTCAGCCAGATATTCTGTTGTTGTCCAAGGGAAGAATATATAACCCCCTCGCCCGCACGAGGGTGATAATCTCCAGCCAGGCTGCCCCTGGAAAATCTGTTGGACAGTGACTCTAAGAATCGACGTTGTCTTTTGGCCGAGAAAATCAAAGCTAAAGTTTATGGAAATTAACATGATTTTTTATCACGTATAGTGATAGTGATTTCCTTTGTCTTTTCCTCATGAATTATTAATGAGTTATTTAACAAATATAAAACATTTTCCGTGTTGATATACAGTTATATCAACACGAGTGGAATTGGGAAAACGAGAAATTGTATGGAAACACGACGCCCGAAGGACGGAGTGTTTTCATACAATTTCGAGTTTTCCCAACTTCCACGAGTGTTGATATGACTATATATCAATACGGAAAAAATGTTTTATATTTTTTTTATAATTTAGCAATGTCAAAAGCCCGAAGGATAAGAAAAATTTCCGTGTTTACAGGCGGCGGAATATTTCCCTTGTTGACATTGAGTTTTAGTATTTTTGCACAAGTGAACATAACAAATCCTACACGTTGATTGGTCAAATTTGACGTATTAAGCTGTTATATTCAACTACAGGTGAATATAACAAAACCGAAATTTTCAAAATGGCGGCTAGCCATTTTGTGGAAGTTACTGATAAAGAAATAAGCGAAATTAAAACAAATTTAGGCCCCAAAACACAAAAGACGTAAAAATACTAAAACAATTATTCGCCTCAGGCTCGGTGATTATCGGGGAATATTCACCTCGACTTCGTCTCGGCGAATATTCCCCGATAATCACCTCGCCTACGACGAATAATTGTTAAATATTCACCTCGACTTCGTCTTGGCGAATATTCCCCGATAAATCACCTCGCTTTCGGCGAATAATTGTTAAATATCAACACGGCTCTTAGCCAATCAGCGTTCAGAATTTACAAATGCTATATTATAAATGTATGTATATATATACGGCATTTGCACTGCAATGTTTCTGAGTTAGCAACTATTTTTTATTTTATTCACACTCCACATGAAGCAATATGATCGAAGCATGATCATGCAGCATCCAAATGACGCGTTCTGCGTCGGGATAAACTGCATTTGAAGCTGAGACTGGAAGATAATGTATATCAAATTATTCAACTCAATCATCATTTGAATATGCAAAAAGTTTCTCTCAAAGAACAATTAGTTTCCGTACGGTTGATTCGCTTTAAATTACAAAATATATTCCCTTAATTTAACTTTCTTTATTTTGCTTCACACAGAAGACAAAATTAATGACAGTTCTACTCTGGCTATAACTGAAACACAAATAAATTAAATAATGATTGAACAGCTGAATAAACTCTGATATACATGCATATTCTAATTCTTCTAGTTTCAGCCACATGTTATATAATTATGAGTTCAACTGCAATATATCCCGGCAGACGAGTCATTTGGACACGCAGTTCGCGATTAGTACTGACTCGAATTAAGCAGTGACCATGCAGTGCGATTTTAAATGAAACCGGGCAACATTGACATATTCATCAATTCATGAAGTAGAAATTTTGATTAATTTATACATTCTATTTATTATTCATATTATACAGTCGAACTCCATGGTCCCATAACTGACGTACACCTCTATTATGTCAAGAGGACATCCTTTTCAAATCTAAACGGACACAAACCTCTGGTCCCAATGTTAATAAAACACTATTTATAACTGCTATTAAGCAGACATGCCAAAGGTGTCTGTTTGAAAAATAAAGAACTGGTCGCAGGCATGGCCGGATTTTTAGACCTCCCCTGAAAAGTCATGCACCTCCGGCCTCCCCCCGGAAAGGTTAAATCATAGATCAAAATGAAAATTTGACAATTTTTATGTGTTGTTTAGGGTTTACACTTCCTAAGAATTTTTTTTTCTGTAAAATTGAAACAGTGATAGTCATTCATCCCTTTTAATGTAATGTTTCAAAAGAAGCTTAAGTATATAATAATGTCATAATGAAGGGCAAAATTGAATGCGTTGTAAAGTCTTAATGATTCATGTGTAACGTGGGGAGAGGGGACGTTCTAAGCCATGCATAATATTTCTTGGGGACCGTGAGTTAGACCGCTGCACCTCCCCTAAAGTTTTTCGACCTCACCCTCCCCTCCCATTTCTACCATAATCCAGCCTTGCTCACAGGTTCAACTGTATTTATTTAACTATGTTTTAATAAGTAAATAAGGTATGATTTCTCGTGAAGTGCAAGAGTTCGAATTACGCAATTAATCCTAATAACTTTTGAAGGCCCTGTCACACTATTGCGTATCGTACTAACGTATGCCAGCGTATGAAAAATATCACTCATACGCCGGTATACGCTGACATACGCTAGGGGTACGTTAGACATAGGTTGTATACGTTTCAAGCAAGGTCGCATACGCTGGCATACGGCGAAGCAGAAAAATTTTTTTGAGCATGTTCAAAAATTTTGTGCGTATTCGGACGTATGCTTTATACGATAAGCATACTATAGGCACACGCTGAATACGCTAGAGGTACGCCAGATGTACGGTGATCATATGCTGGCATTTCAAAGGATTTTTGTGCGTATGAAAATTATTTCATTAATTTTCATACGCTTCTCATACGTTTCTCTCATACGCAATAGTGTGACAGGGCCTTAAAAAAAGTGAATGACTCTGTTTTAAATTTTATAATTCACGCACTTTGCAAATTGTGCTGCTATATACGTATACTTAAATCAATATCAGGTAATATCTCGTTGCTTATGCCATCGAATACAACGACATAATTTCAAAACATGCTGAGTAAAACACCCATTTTTGTTCGTCATCTTATAATACAGATATGGATTGATTGATGAATTAAGACAAATCAGAGCTTGAGTTGCGTACCATATCTGGTTCCAAGTTGCACTCGTTTTTCTAATTAACGTAAAATGTTCTATAGTGCGCATTACGATATGTGGTGTAAAGCAACAAACAAATATAATCCACAAACATGTAAGGAACTTTCGTATTCGCCTTTCGTGCAATATCGTTCGAGAAAAATTCCTTGCATTGCAGTTCATCACTTCTTGACTGGTCCTGGAATGCCTCCGTAAATCTCTCGTAATCTTCCGTTGTGATACGATCATAACCGACACAGGCGCGAAGAAGAGTAGACTTGCTTGTAAAAGATAATAAATTTGTCGAGGTCTTACTCCGAAATTTGTATTGCTACAATGAAGTCTTCCATTTCTTTCTGCTACTGTGTAAGCATACATCAAGGGAGACACAACAGTCAGCGCTCCGAGCCATAAAAAAATTATGGTTTTTTTCACGTGTTTTCTTCCATGAAGCAGCTTGAATGGATTATTGACTGCTTTACTCCGGCAATAACTTATTGTTGCTATAGTAAAAGCAGAGACTGTATAAGAGAGCTCAATCAGTGTTCCGTGTATCTTACAGAATACTTCACCCAAAAACCACTCGTTGTGTATGTACTCTAAAGCATTGAAAAGCGTTAAAGTTGTCAATAGAAAATCTGCTATGGCGAGACTTAACGTGTAACTATCAATAACCGTGTGATGATGGCGTTTGATATAAACAAGCGAACATATGACAAAACCATTTCCAAATTCTGACATTAGAAACATCAACACGTATACCGCAATCATTAGAGGCAACATCGACGTTGATTCAGGGTTTACAAGTGTGTCATCATCCGTGCAATTCGCCATTGCAGCCAATATGGTTATACTTTGCTCTTTTTACTCATTCACTGTAAATAGTGAAATTCAAAAAAAGTCACTTCTATTTTATGACCCGAGTACTTTTTGTTCGTCGTATATGGTGATCCTAATCTGTTCTCTTAACGAAAACTGTCTTCCTTCCACAGAGCACGCGTTCTTTCACACTCACATTTGTGAGTTTTGTGTGCGAATATTCGCGCAGGCAGCTCCCAACAGTGTGAATTATGTATGTCTTGGACAAGTGTAGGCCTACGTATGAATTACAGTATGCTTTACTTTACCAATTAACATTGGCAAACTATAATTCTGAACTTTTTGAAAATCTATCAATCTTATAATTGCTTAATCTTCCTGAGTCAACAGTAATTACACAATATAATGTTCTTCATTTTTTAACTCTTAAAGTTAAAGTGGTTATACTCTTTTTCAGTTGTATGCTTATGTCATTTTTGTATGCAAGAACATATATGGCGATAGTTTTGTTTACCAAAGATAAAGTATAAAAGCATAAATAGATTTTAAATTATATATGCATATAGCATATTTTGACGGTTACCGTAGAAATTAATATTGAATAGCAAACAATCTGTCATCTGGTTAAAAATTTATATCATACGACATACATTTTCGAAATTAGTTTTTAGCACCACATTACAAGCCGACCCTGTTATACATTAATCATTATATATGCCAGCGTGCTATAGGAAACATATGAGAGGGTCCTGAAAGGGTAAAATGGGAACTGGGATTTGCTTATTTTTGGGTGGGAAAATGGGATTTCATGCACTGGGACTGGGATTCATCAGCAAAAAAAACAATAGAAAATGGGAATGGGATTAATATTTGAGTAGGACAGCCACTGAGATGATGGGATTTGTGCTCTGGGACAATGGGATTTAGTCAAAATTTGGGCTGGGAAATGGGAATACGACCCCCCTCCCCCCTTCAGGACCCTCATATGATACGTTTGTTAAGAAAAAAACATTCATTTATATATAGTGCAATATGAAAGGCTTTAATACTAATAGTTTGAAAAGAACAAAACTGATGATCACCTATAATTAGACCTTCATAAATTGACATTCATAATTAGACATTCATGCAGCATTTCTTTGGCCAACATTATCTGGGCTTTATTTAAAGGATTATTATAATATAGCATTTGTAAATTCTGAACGCTGATTGGCTAAGAGCCGTGTTGATATAACTCAATGTCAACACGGGAAATTTTCCGCCGCTTGTAAACACGGAAATTTTTCTTATCCTTCGGGCTTTTGACATTGCTATATTATAAAAAAATATAAAACATTTTTTCCGTATTGATATATAGTTATATCAACACTCGTGGAAGTTGGGAAAACTCGAAATTGTATGAAAACACTCCGCCCTTCGGGCGTCGTGTTTCCATACAATTTCTCGTTTTCCCAATTTCCACTCGTGTTGATATAACTGTATATCAACACGGAAAATGTTTTATATTTGTTAAGTGTCACACCAGGAATTCGCGGGCTCAAACTCCTGTTGGCGGCCATTTTTCGGGACGAATAGACTAGATGATCTGGAAAGTATTTACAATCCGTCATATATTTAAACCATCCTTTTATAATCCTTACTCTTTTTGTCTGATTCTTATCAGAAATGTACAAAACAAGGTATTTTTATTGCTATTTGTTGTATTTGTCATTTGAGTAAAATGTAAACAATAACAAAAGCCCGCAATGCATGACCCTGACACTAATCCTTTAATAGTTTAACTCTTTCACAACAGGCACTCAAATGCCCTACTCTACATAAACTTCGGGCGGTTTCCCAACCTCGTACCCAGGCTCTCTCCTCTACGCCCCTATCTCGCTACCTCGAGGTAGGAGCGTAGAGGAGAGAGCCTGGGTGCGAGGTTGATGGTTCCTACATACATAATTAATAATGAGATCTTTTGTTCAGTGCAGCGGCCCTTAGTTTATGGTCATGTACCAAAATAGGGTAAGGGGCAAATATAACTGGGTTTTGCCTTTTTTGGACTAGGAAAATGAGATTTACTGCACTGGGACTGGAATTTAACCATTGGAATTGAGATGAACAATTTTGAAAGTGGGAATGGCTGAATGGGATTATTACTTGCCACAATTGCTCCATTTAAATTATCCCTTTCTCAATCTACAAACATCGTGTTTAACATTTTCCTGGTTAACCAAGAAATAATTCTATTTCGGGTTAAATTAATATTTCTGGTTAAATTTCCTGGTTATTTTATAGTCTCACTTCCTACCCTAGTCTGATTAATTAATTAATGCAACCAGGAATCTGGTTATATTTGACAAACAAACCTGAAACCCTACTTACATAGTATACATGTTTACCCTGTTTGGTTTTTAAAAGAATTATGCACGAACCCCGGGGGATGGGTCTTTTAAAGGGGTACACTTGGGCAAAGGAAACCATAGCAAGATCAGTACAAGAAAGCATATAGTGAAACAGGTACATGAAAGAGTTTCTTAATTTCTGATTGGTTATATCGGTCGGTTTATCAATGCGTCCATGTTTAATTAAATACAATATACCTAATGTTTGTTGCAGAGTAGAATAATAACATTAGAGCTTTTTTGACGTCGACTGTATTTGTATTTCCAGCCATAACATGATTATGTTTTCTGTCTGGAATGATATCCAGTAGATTGGGGGGTTTCTTTTGTAATTTAATTTTCCATTTCAACTACAGTAAAGCCCCGCATCAAAGAACCAGTGGGTTAAGAACCACCAGCCTGAAATTTGGACAAATAAGCACCCAAAATACAAGAACCACTTCAGGATTATGTCTTTGATCCGCATCATGCATACATGCATTTTATTTTATCAAAACTAGTTTTATAGTATACAATAAAAGGTTTAAAACTCTAAACCAGGAGGAATCGTTTTTGACAGGAAATTAAGAACCAGTTAAGAACCGCGTCAGCCTGATTTCTTTCTAAGCACCCGTTATATTATAAGAACCACGTCACTCTAAAAACACCCTGGTTAAAAATTTCCTGGTTAATCTAACCCTGTTTGGGGTAACTTAGTTTCCTGGCTAAATTTCCTGGTTAATTCAATTAAACCACAATCCTGGTTAACTTGATCATAGTCCTGACCAATTTAACCAGTATTCCTGGTTAATTTAACCAGACTGTATGGTTGAATTAACCAGATTACGGGGTGATGGTAGGTGGATTCTTAACCAGGAAATCTTGGTCAACAGTCCAACTAACATAACCTGGTTATTTTAACCATATAGCCTGGTTAAATTAACCAGGAATCCTGGTTAAATTGGCCAGGTCTATGATCAAGTGGACAAGGATTGTGGTTAAATTAACCAAGAGATTTACCCTAAGATTACCCAAATAGGCATTGTTGTAAATAGTCGTTACAATAGCAACGCGTTACTAATTACAAATTACGTTTTGAGTAATTTTGATGGTAATTAATTACTTCCTTTACTGAAGTAATTTGTAACGTAATTAATTACATTTTGAAGGCGTAACGAGTAAAATTTTCTTAAAGTAACGTCACGTTACTTTTCAATTTTACTTCAATCTCTCACAACATTCATTGCACATAATCTAAAAAGTAGTAAAACGTTTAATTTTCTAGGCTACCTGCCTTAAGAACTAGTGAACTACCGCGAAAACGATGTTTGCAAAATTGAAATATCTTTTCAAAAAAGCCTGCAATATGTGAAATATGCGGCGTGAGCTTTCACCATTACTTCATGTAATTGATATGGTGTATTATGTCTTTAATTTCCAGCCAATTTTGCGTGAAATGATTTTACTCAATTTATTATTGTGAAAGGTCGAAAGCGGTAAGCATAATTTAAATACAAAAAGTAAAATGAAAAGTAATTTTGAAAGTAATTAGTAATTAATTAATTACTTTTTGAAAAGCAATTAATTGTAATTAATTGCTTTTTCTAGTAAAAGTAATTTGTAATCTAATCAATTACTTTTTAGGAGAAGTAATTGTAATTTCTACTCATTACTTTTGTTCAGTAATTTTGACAACACTGACCTGTTGAAACAGGGTTAATTTTAGACAAACCTGGAAATTTTTAACCAGGGTGTTTTTAGAGTGGTCAGAACCCATGGGGCTTTACTGTACGTAAAACATGTTTTTTACTGTACGTACACACCGTGACGTTGGTATGATTTTCAATTTAATCATGCAAGCTGCATGTAACGACCAATTCGTTTGACCCATGTTCTTGGTAACTAATACAAAATACAAAATCCCTGCAAAATCTTGTTATATACTTATTAACTAATCAATGATTTCACACTGATCAATGTAAAACTGCACCATGTAAAATGACAGGTTGCATTTTCAAAATTGTTTGGAGAGGCGAATTTAAATCTATATATTTTCTCGTTATATTAAAGGAAACAGTCAAATTGGGACTCCTCTCTCTCCCTTTAACTACGCCCTTGTTAAAAAGGTCAAAAATGGAACTTTATATACAAAATATTATCACCGTATGATGTTTTTAATTCCGTGCTTTAATCAGATAAGGCAATTTGCATCGGCACATGAGACAGCCATTACGGTGTTGGTAGTATTCCACGCCATATACACAAGAACACGAACTTTGTGGACAAATTTTCACTAAAAATAGAAAAGACGAAGTGTGTAACGTTAGAAAGCTGTAATGAGAACGTTATTCAGCATGGCAAGCCATATACAGTTATCTCTGTCTGAATACGTTGTTATTCTATAGTATTTTTGAGTTGCAGTTTTCGTTTTGACTTTTGAAGTTATGTTTCATAAAAAATAGGATTTTTTTGTTAATTAAAAACCCGAAAGCTGACGGTGTCGGTATTTTGGTATATAGTCAATTTGTGGCGCAATTTTAGAAACTGCAGTCGATAAATGTCAATAAAGCAACGGTGATAGAAAAACCTAAGTTGTTTGTCGATTTCGTCCTTGCATGTGACTTAAATGACGTCACAAGGTGATTGGTTCCAGTGAACTCCATGTATATCTCAAGTAAGAACTCGAGCAACCTCGTACCCAGGGCTTCTGGCTGAGAGCCACAAGCGCAGACGCCCTGGGTACGAAGTTGGAACTCGAGTCCAAAAGTTCCAGTCCTTTTCTATTGTTATTGCACGGTTCAGACAAAGCTGCACGGAGTGTGCTGAAATTTCGTACTTAACGAATAATAGTTAAGGTGGCTCCCTACCGTAGTTGGTTAAGCATGAGACTGATAACAAAATGACGTGATCTTGTCGAGTTGAAATTTCATTTGACCGCGCAAGGCTGGTAATGCAGACATTTTCTGAAATTTTGTATTTTAAAGTACTGGTAATTTATTGCAATATACTCAATTTTTTAAAAATTCTATAGAACAGTTTTTGTGGAACAAATTTCGCGTAATATCTAAAAAACTGAATTTATCATAGGCCGAATGACTACTTCTTGCTCCATGCAGATATAAGGTATATACACAGCCAGAAACGCGCAAGTTGCAGCAGGTCTGCTGCAGACTTGATGCAACTTGCGATCATCAAGCCGATATCAGGATCATTCGCATCGCTTGCTACGGCTTGATAATGAACAAGTCAAATGAATTTGTTATTAACTTGCAGCAAGTCTGCAAATGTCAAGTTGCAACAAGCTTGATTTTAACAGACTTGCTGCAAGTTGTTTTATCAGACTTGTCAAGACTTGTTATCCACAAGCTTGCTGAAAATTGTTTGAACAACTTGCAGCAAGCCTGCGGATAACAATTTGCAGCAAGTCTGATTTTCTCAACTTGCATCAACATTGATGCATTCATCAAACTTGCTGCAAGTTGTTCCATCAGACTTGTCAAAACTTGATATCCACAGACTTGATGCAAGTTGATGAAACAAAGTTGCATCAAGTCTGCAGATGACAACTTGCAGCAAGCCTGATTTTCTCAGTTCGCATCAGCATTGATGCGTTCATCAGATTTGCTGCAAGTTGCTCTATCAGACTTGCTGCAAGTTGACATTTGCAGACTTGCTGCAACTTGTTCCATCAATTTGCATCAAGTCTACAAATGTCAACTTGCAGCAAGCCTGATTTCAACAAGCCTGCTGCAACTTGTTGACAACTTGCAGCAGGCCGGGTAAAATCCGCAACTTGCAGCAAGTCTGTGGTGTTTCTGGCTGTGTAGAGATCACTGGTTGCATAGTTCCAACTTCCAAGTCCACTAACTTGTGTGATTTTCACACGGACGGCCAAATTCTTAATTCATAATTAACTTTGGAAACGTGCAAGGCACTATAAAATAACGACCAACTTATACTTACCACATGTTGCGACTCCATTCACTTCACGACATAACATGTAATATGGGCAGAAATTTGATTGACACGACTCTTCTAAGAATAGATTTAATATTTATATCACATTCAAATTTTGTGATATCAAACAATATGTAATATGGAGAAAAAAAATATACAACAATCAGTAATATCATGGAAATAAAAAAGATAATTAGATATAATAATAATTTAGAGACGCAATCTTTAACTGTATATATGCAATATACTTTGACTAAACAATGTAGTCACCATTCCTATATTAACCATTCTGCATTGTAATTTTTATATACTCTACATTAACTATATTGCATCGCAAACATTAGTTTTCTCATTATGACTTTCGCGTCAATGTTTACGTTTAGGTATGTAACCATGTATACAGATTTTGGTTGATGTACAAAGTTGAATTGTTGGATAAAAAATATTTTATAAAAATCTGACTTGACTGTTTTCTGTTTCTTCTCGGCCCCTATCCCACCTATAGGTAATTAATGGTTTTTTATACAAATAATGAATGTTTATTTGCAGCGGTTAAGAATATTTTCATTCGGTGAAAGATGGAATGTTCCATTCAACGAGGCGACAGCCGAGTTGAATGAACATTCCATCTTTCACTGAATGAAAATATTCTTACCATTGCACGAATTTACATTCATTATTTGTTTTCTATCACGAATAAACATTCATTATTTGGCGTATGAGAAGCATTTTGACGGATGCGATTTATCGAAAACACAAAGAGTGCAATGGAATAAAACGTATAGTATACAATTGCACTCGCAAAGAGTGCAATGGAACGTATTCCATTTCACTCTTGGGAAATGGAATTTTCTATTCAATATCACGTGACCATAAACATCCAATTAAACTATCAGAATTGACCACTTGCGTAATAGACAAAATTTTGATCTCAACAAGTCTAGACAAAAATTTCATCACAGCTTGAAAGAGCATCACAAAATTAGTAATATTCCAAAGTTTTGTTGCGAAATGTTGTAAAATGCGGATAATATAGCCTTGCGAATTTTGCCGTTTTTCAGTCATTTTGCATTTATACGCGGGGGAAATTGACAGACCAATACCCTTTGGGTCTGTCAATTTCCCGTTTGTAAAACAAAATGACTGAAAAACGGCAAACTTCGCAAGGCTATATTATCCGCATTTTACAACATTTTTTGATGCTCTTTCAAGCTGTTTTGTCTATTACGCAAGTGGTCAATTCAATAAGGTATTATTTTATATACTTACTGTTTGGCTCACCAGGTGGTCTTGAAGTACCAATTCCTGATATGGCTGCGTAAATATACGAAAATAAATTGAGCCGATAAATGGAAAAATTAAATTCGTGACCATCATAGCATGTGTATAGTGTACAATGATAAAGTTAAATTGTGTACCTGTTATTAAAAATAAAGAACCCACAGAAACGGATTAAAAATAAAGAACCCACAGATTCAGCCTGAAAAATATCCACCGGTTTTCTTTTGGAGTAGACGTTTGGAAATAACGACCACATAACCTAAGCTCATTTCGGTCGAAGACTCGAAGGTCTGAAATTCTTACCTACCCAAATTCAATAAGTCTTACCGAATTTCACTCATTCATTACTACGACGGTCTTTTTGCATGCAACTTGGTGTCGTGAGTTGAAAATCAATCCCTGGTTCCAGAGGATCTTAAAGAACGGCGACGCACAAGAAGCGCGAAGACAGAAGAACCTCGGAAGAGATTATTTCGCTGGCCTCAAAGTGACAAAACGTAACGAAGCAACGGTTTTACTAACACTAACCCTATTCCAAACACCAACTCTAACCCTAATCCTAACCCCAACCCTATCCCTAACCTAACCCTACTCCAAGTTTGTTTCTAAACCAATCTTGAAGAAAAACGTTTTGACGAAATGTCATTCTGAGGTCAGCGAAATAGTATTTTCCAAGAACCTCTCTGGTCAAATCGATTGCCAATCTCACTTGCATACTCTATGTAGTATCTAAGTTTGATTCAGAATATGAACCTCGCATGTGATTGGTTATTAGTTAATTGTAAAAATGTGTCAAATCGGTTTAAGAGATAAACGTTACAATATTAATATTGTACATGTACAATAGCTAATAATACTTTAAGAGCCTCGGGAACCAGAGTAGGAAATCACCGGAATAACGGGACAATTTTGCAATAAAATATTGATGAGTTATAATTTGCATATTATGACAGTTTGTCAGGAGGTAATATGCATAACCATATCGATCTCTGACTCTGAATTAAAGTTCTCTTTGCAAAATACATGTACAGTAATTATGGCATGAAATTCATTATCGACCTCAAATACCAGTAGTGTATACTAACCGGCACATCTCCCATGTCTTGCAATGGGAATCTTCGTTTTTTCTTTGCATGACTTCACTTTCCAGAAACATTGATTGTAATACGTCACGCCATCCTTGCCACATATTGGTCTGGGGATACTTAGACATTGTTCATAAGATGGACACTTACATTTTCCTATACCGTCCGATGATACCTGGCATTTCGCAAAATTTCTACACTTTACATGAGCGCAAGGAAATTCTAAATAACCAAATAACGAAAGTACGAAATCAAGTACTTAAATCACGTTTCGACAATATCGTGCACCTAGATTTGCTATTCGTTTCGAGAGAGGAAAATTCTTGGAGAGACGAAAATTCTTGAACATACTGGCAGTAAATTACAAGAAAAATTTTAAAAATTAAATAACTTACTACAATAGCCAGTTGAGTGAACTCTGATATTTTTCTTCAATCTGCAGGCAATCGCTTTCAAGGTACAGTTGTTTCTGTAGGTGACCTTGTCCGTTCCACATACAAGTGAATGTTGTTTCGAACAGTCAAATAGATTCTGACAAAGACATTTCGCGCTGTGTAGGTTAATAACAATACATCTGCTGTGGTATGGGCATTTTGTATACTGACAAGGATTTACTGTCGAACCGAAAGAGAAATACAGAAAAATTAATGAATATCTAATAATATTAATATTTTACGTTTCGTTGACCGCTGAACATAAATGGAAAATGTTTTGATAAACTGATGTAAAATTATAGATGAATTATAATTTTGAAGTGATTCAATTGGCTATGTTGGAAAAATATACCATAAATCCTCTGTCAAGCCTCCCCTTGACTTCGTTCTGAGGATTCTCTGTCTCTTCCACATGTGGCCTTTATGATCCCTCCCCTTTCGTAACAAAGGAACATATATCACGTATAGTCAGAGACGTATAGTGATCAAATTTGTTAATTAATAGACAATTCCCATTGTAGACTAATTTTAAAACTAGGCAAGGAGATGCAATTAAATCACCACAGCTAGAAAGAGTATACTAAAATTAGTAAAATTACATAGTTTGCATGGTTGAGAAATGTTGTAAAATGCGGAAAATATAACCTTGCAATTAAAGTTCGCAAATTTTGTATAATTTTGTAATGCGTGCGGAAATTCCTACCACATTCCTACCACATCTGGGCCGAAAATGGTAGCAATTTCCGCACGCAATACAAAACTCAAAAGTATACAAAATTTGCAAACTTTGCAAGGTTATATTTTCCGCATTTTAGAACATTTCGCAACCGAACTTTGTAATTTTACTAATTTTAGTATGCTGGCTTTCTATAGCTGCGGTGATTTGTTTGCATCTCCTGCCTAGTTTTAAAATTAGTCTATAATGGGAATTGTCTATTGGCCTTCATGCTAATTTCGATTAAATTGTTGTCATTGAGCCCCCCCCTTTAATAAGTCCATGCATACATCTATCAAAATCCCCCACGAAATCGACCATTTCAGCATTCATTGGCTTACCATGTTTAGCTTCTTTACAAATTCCACATGTATCTGGACAGTATTTTCTCATCCAGATACGATGAATACCGCAGGAATCCTTTATTACTTTACAATATGTCGGCCAATAATCCTTGCAAATTCCACCTGTTTCTTAGGAAAAAATATTAATGAGCCTTAGATTTATACTGCATGATTCACCATCATAGAAAAACAAAAACAGTAACTGGACTGTTTCACTGATCTCAAACTTTATTTCTAGTCAAATACATTTCTATACTCCCCAACAAAATCAGGATATACGTCTGATGTTTAAGCGTGCATGTATCGGCTTCATTTGATTTTAAGCCTGCAGCACACAAGAGCTATCTGCTGAGCAAAAAGTTACTCGTGCCTGTTAGCTCAGCAGATAGCTCACCGATCAAACATGTTTGATATGCGAGAAAAGGTTGCATGAGGCAAAAAACTCAGTAAAATGTACCGGCACACGGTGAGCTATCGGCTGAGCTAACAGGCACGACTGGTAACTTTTTGCTCAGCACATAGCTCTCGTGTGCTGCAGGCTTAACAGCTTAATACGTCAAATTTGACCAATCAACTTGTAGGATTTGTTATGTTCATTTGTTCAAAAATACTAATTATATTGACGTCAAACCTTGCCGTTCGATCCAGTCTTATTCCAGTTTTATTCTAATAGTAAATACTTTTGAATAGGCTGAGTCGCTGACATAATTGTACTTATAATCAGTTTACATTTCGTCTATAGGACCTGTTCATAATTATGAGGAAAAGTTATCTCGATTAGCGAGAAAATATTTCGACAAGTTTACAAGCGAGATCTCCCCTTTTAAACTTTTCTGTCGTGTCAGAAACTCAATTTCAATTTACACTTTATACAAAATAACTTTTCCCGCGTTATATAGGTCCCTATTCTGTAAAAAGAGTCTGGTATTTGAATCTAATAAATAGTGCATGAACTGAGGTGAAGTTAACTGCCCGCCGCGGGGTTCTCACCGCGGTCAAGCAATATTTTTCAGCTTGCCTGCAGTGGACAGAGTTGCACCATCACAAATAGCCTGGTATTTCTATAATATCTACCTGATGGAAAAACTCCATTTCTTGACACAACGAAGCAGCAAGCCTGCAATGAAAGTGGAAGTCATTTTCTCGTTAAATACTGCAGATTCAACTTGGTGCTGCCAGTGTTCCCTGCAGTCGCCAATGGATTCTCGGGAACAAAATTGGCCGGCTATATGATTAGGCAAATTAGCCTATCATATGCAGGTTCTATAAAATATGATTCACATTTTATAACTTGGAATTAAGTAACTTGGAATTAAGTCCTATAACTATGCATTCACACCCAGGATGTGGCAAAATATATTTTATTATTATTACTAAGTTTATTACTATACGAGTTCCATGCATGCGTATATAACCTTGAGCGAGTTTGAAAGTATATGAGCATATATAGCTATATATACAGCGTCGCGTCGCGTTTTGTTAAATTGACAAAGTCAGTGCCACGACCCGGTATGTTTACCTTAACGATTCAATCATTTCACAGAACCATCTGCGCAGTAGGTATTGGGAGTACACCTTGACCTCAACTCAGTTTTGCCGTAGCAAAAATTAAGCAAGTATAGTCACTGACGTTCTGACAATATGGATCAGTATTAAACGTGTATTATATATCCATTGTCTTGCAATGCCAATGAGGCGTCGGTCGAATGTAACTGGCAATTTTACTCATACCGACCACCGAACTTCATTATTATGAACTCAGTATTCGTTTGGTATGTTATGATATAATTAATAAAACATTGGTACAAGTGATAAAAGAAATGAAGATTGTGATCAGAGTTGAAACCCCGCATATATATTAATTTGACAACTGCATGAAATCAATTGAAAATAAGGAGTTGACATGTTTGAGAGTCGTTGCTTGTCCGAATTTTAATAGCTAGGGACTCCAGTCAATGTCTATAGGTTTTCTCCTCCCTATATCTATTGTATTCAATGTGTGACAAAATGTTTCTAATTTCTTCATGCACCCCTTCAAAAACCATGTTGCATATATTCCATATTTCTATATTAAAAATAACAAAAATTCAGCTGAAAAAAGCGCATTAGATCATATGCATATGTATTTTGCGCTATCGATAAATTTCAGTAAATTTATATTATTAAAAGACAATGCGCAGGTTGAAATAGAGCCTTGCATGAAGGAAATTCGTTCATGAAAATCCCGAATGTTCACTCATGAAAAACGGGACTCCGAAACGCAGAGAGTGAAAATATTGATACCATGCATGCATATCCATTCAACATAATGAAAAATAAAATATTACCGAATATGAATCAGCCAATCAGGTACATGACTGTATGTGCATGACGATTCTATTTTATTTCTGACAGACTACAATGACCGAATGACGAATGTAATATATTCAGTTGGCCTTATTTTTACTTTAGTCTATATACGAGGAAATGCATGTACTCATGATTTTCTTGCAAATTGATGTTTTAGTTATAACATTATGTACTGTTTAATAAACGAGCAGGAGTGTTTTATTAGGTTTAAAGCCACGAGCGCGCAGCGCAAGTGCATGGCTTTAGACCTAATAAAACACGACCTGCGAGTTTATTAAACGGCTTCAAACACGACTACAAATTCAATAGATTTACTGCCTTATTAGTATTCTTTATATAAAAAATACTAATGAGGACACGACTACAATAGATACTGCCTTATTAGTATTCTTTATATAAAGAATACTAATTAGGAGTGTTTTATCAGGTTTAAAGCCACTGCACGTGACATATTATGGTTGACATGATTTGCCAATAAGCTTATGAATTATTAATGAGTGTTTGAAATATATATATATATATATATATATATATATATATATATATATATATATATATATATATATATATATATATATATATATATATATATATATATATATATATATATATATGCTTTCTAAGATTTTAGTCAGACATTTTCTTATGCCTTGTTATGGTTGTTTATTTATTCAGTGTTGGATCTTTTCTTATGTCAAACATTATAACACAGCGAGTGCGCGGATATAAAAAAGTATATGCAGATTGACATGTGTTCAAGCATGGCATAGGAGACTAGATAGGGTTACTTTAAAAGATATTGAATACTGATATAGAATCCTATTAGCATGGACATTTATCTCCAAATCATATAAAAATTCTAGTATAAGTCAGCTGGAAATTCAATCAAGCATTTTAGAAATACCATCCAAAGAAAATATATTACATTTTATTCTTTCGACTTACCAGACTGAAAAGTAACCCTTTCTTTACATCCAAGCGCAGTGAAATCATTTTTTCCCCAAGATACAGTCACTCCGAAATTTTATTTAACGTAACATCTGTTTTACCAGCAACTGTGGTTTTAGGATACTTTAGTTGATGATCATCTTTCTGACGTCATACAGCGAAGTTTACACAAGGCAAAAAAAACTATCAGTTAAATGTCATCAAACTGAGAAATATTGCTTTAGACTTACTGTTTATTAAAAATAACAAGGTGACTTCACATATACTTGAAAATAATGATGGGATAGTTAATCCCATTAGTTATTTTATACATGCATGCAGCTGAGTGAAAGGAATACTTTGTTTTTGAATGTTCGCCGCTCAATGAGAAAGAATAACAAAGCTAGTGCCTCAAACTGAGTCAAGTGACACATGCAGTGAAAGCAGATTTCCACTAATTATAATTATAATTAGCATCAATGTATCCGCTGTCACGCAGATGTGATCACTGGACTATGTGATTCTACATGCATATAACCGACAATGAAATGAATAATGTTGAAACCCAAACTGACGTTTTATTTTTTCACCACAGAACTACTTGATACCCAATAAAACTTGACAATATGATAATGCGAAAATAGTAATTGAAAAGTATGGCAAGTTCATCACATTTCAAAACCAAAAGATGACTCAATTTCTATTACATTTAACAAAACTGCCCTTGGGGCGCCATGTTTTGAAAAAAATATGACGTACATTTAGCAAAAATACACAATAAGTATATACAGTTTCCTTTTCATAATTCGACGAAAGGGCTATTGACTATTGGCTGATCACGGAATGTTGTGAAATTTGAACGAAATGCGCACAACTGAGGTATAATAACAGAGACACGGTGAAAGAGATGTAATCAGCAGTGAACCTCTTAAATTAATCGTTTTACTAACGCATTATGCACTTCAAAACAAATCATGGTAAAGTGAATTCAGTAATTAATTTAAATTAAATTAACATGGGTGGACCGGAAGGAAAAAATTAGGGGGGCGGAAAGAAAATCGCCCGACTTCGCCCGACACCCCCCCCCCCGTCGCCAAAAAAATTTCGGTCAGTGTACCATTTTAGGGGTCAAAAAAATTTTCCGGACATACCAAAATTTTTCGGAAAATCACACAAATTTTCCAAAAAACACCACATTGCCCCCAAAATTGACTGAATTTTCGAAAAAATTCACAGACGTTTTCCCATTTATTTTTATAACAAACCAAAATTGCCCGACTGTTAATCGAATATTGCCCGACTGCCCGAAAAACTGGGGGGGGGGGCTACCGCCCCCCCGCCCGGTATGCCTATGAAATTAAGATTAATTAGTAAAAACATATTCCACACGTGCATTATATCCAAAGCCAGGAATACAGTAATTCAGTAACGAATTTCTTCTAATAATAACTAGATTGTTATAACAATCTGTTTCCATACATTTCGCGCTGTACTATAAAAATGTATATTTGTATATTTGCACTCAAATTTTCAATCAGAAAAGCACCAACGTATACTACTAGTACTATATATTGCTATTTGCAAGAGCCAAAATTAAACTGCTAGCAAGCAACTGAATAGTACGCGATTGCTCTGTTTAGCCAAACAAAATTTTTCAATATTCATAAAGCGAATTTATTTCTTACCGAGAAATATCCATTGTCATCACTGATTATCACAAAAACCTAGACACTCGCAACGTTGTCAATTATTTTTGACATCACGCCCAAAGAAGAGGTGAAGGAGCAAAGCTCTCCCTGCCGGCCTGAAATGCAAGATCAGGCACAGCCAATTTAGACCCAGTAGTTTACTTTTTGGTATTTTGACCATTTTACTTTTGGTATTGACAGTATTTTATCGTTAAAATACAGTAGATCGAAATACGGGTATAAAGTATATCCTACATTTCGCAGCCAACGTTAAGTACCCAGAGAAACAGACCGGTAGCCTGGAGTTTTAGGTATACAGTATTGAGCCAGTAATATCAAGTGTATTGGTATTCTAGTAACCCCCCTCGCTGGGCCCGCAAAATGAACAAAATGACCTGCTCTCAGGAAGAAATGCCATAAAAGAAACTCTACAATTGAAAAATTTCCCCGTACCCCCCACCCCCTCCCTCCAGAATTGCTTACTCGTCTTCAACCACCTCGTACGTCCGACGTCTGATGCGCATCACACACACTACGGGAACACGCATGATTTTATACACAAACAGTCAAACTGACAGACACATTTAATATTCACACAATTAAAGCCTCGAAAGTAACTGTGGTGTAATTTTGATCATACCAACATAACAAAACGATCGAGTCCTAGTCACTTATCTGTACTAACAGTGGTCTTAGTATGAATCATATTTACTGATATTTCCAAATATTTAACCTGCGTACCAAATCGTTTTATGAGTGACAATCTCGTTCCCCGAGCCTGCGATCCTCGGGAAGGAACGCGAGGCTCTGGGATAATCCGTTTCAGGGAGGAATCTGATTGGCCATTGAAATGGAATGCGTAGTTCAATCTTAGCCAGGATTCTTGGCTTCCGGTAACGGTTATCCCAGAGCCTTCGATTCCTTCCCGAGGATCGCAGGCTCGGGGAACGAGATTGTATGAGTGACTACTACAACTGACTCGTGTCCAGTGCATAACTGAATTATGAGTATATATAAATCAGTAAGCAGTGTATCACCAAGGGATGCAAAATTGGTTCAGTTGCGGGTGCCTTTTCGTAATTTTTGCCCCTGAAAATAATCATGATTGACATTATCAATATTATACTTTGCTAATGCGCCCACTAAGGCAGCGAGTGGATGTAGAAACATAGACTTCTACTTTTTATTGACACATAATACCAGTATATCAGATTATTACTTTAATCAGGGTCCCTTAGGGACGGGGGGGAGTTGTCTGGGGGTTTGTCTGTTTGGGGTTTGTCTGGGGGTTTGTCTTAGGAACGTTAACAAGGCATATTTTACAATGTGAACAAGGCCAAACAATCATAGGGAACAAGGGAGTATGAAAACTAGACTAAGTGGGAACTATGGGAATATGTTCCCTTGGAAATTTTTTCTTTGTTCCCTTGAGATATCACCATGTTCCCTTGCAAGTTCCCACTCCTAGTTTTCATACTCCCTTGTTCCCTATGATTGTTTGGCCTTGTTCACATTGTAAAATATGCCTTGTTCCTAACCTCAGATCGGGCGGCAATAAAAACCCTTAATTAACCCGGTTTTCATTAGGGGGAATTTTGCGCGCGGAGCAGAATTTTTCTTTGTCTTTTCTAATTAGTTCACCCGAGAAGTCCGAGAAATCACAAGACAAAGAACATTTCGCCTAGTGGAAAACCGGCTTTATTTTGAAAAAATATTACTCCAGTAAATCATCAAGTCCAGTGACTCTGTATACACCGCGCATGCGTGCTTATGCTTGTTCCATCTTGTATTGTTTGGTCGATTTTGAACCTCACAAGAGATTTGAAATCTTTGAAATCTTCTGAGTTCTGACGTTCTTGTATTGGCGAAGAACCCTTAGCTTTTTGCACGGTGAAGAGTTAAAAGGTTTGTATATTTCATATTGGTATTTTATGTAATTGTTCACCGGTATGCTGTGATTTCTCGTATTATTGTTTAGTTTATAAAACATGTCGGCAGATCAAATGGTCAAATTTTGTAAAACTAAAAGCTACACCCCGCCGACGAAATGCCAGCGTTTACTCAGTGCACACGCCAATTTTTGAAACTTTCATATTATTTTAGTTGTGGAACTTCAGCAAAATCGCTTAATGTAAATGAAAACAGCATGTTTATACTAACGTTTGTCACAAATTAAATATAGTCATGGTGTTTGAAACACAAACCGAGGCTGACTGGTGAAAAACCTAACGAAGTGGCTGTACAACGCCTAACGGCCTAAGTCATTCATTTGCTGCATACCTCTGAACTTGAATTATATTCAGTTGTAAGACCACCACTTCAAGAAGGCCTCAGGGGCATGCTCGTCTCCTTCAAAAAGTTTTGAAATCTATGTTTCCAGAAAATGCATTTCTTGCATTCTGGGAATACGTTTTATACAGTTTATAGTTGAAATGTTTAATTTAAATTGCATACAGTTAATTTAGATTCCACAGTTCAGCACTTTATATCAGTGATATATGTATGTAGGAGCTTGTTAAAGTTACACTCAATATCCTGGCCATAGCTAGGCCAAGAACAAATCAATCACATTTTAGTTCAATTTATATGAAAATTTTATGTGAAATGTAAAAAAGTTGGTCTTGCTTTCATGGGCTAAAAAGAACTGAATGCATAATGTTCACTAGTTTGAATCCAACAAAATTTTATGATAGATGTTATGCCAATGAAGTCCACCGACTGCTTATGCCAGTATGCAACATGCAAATTCTATCAAGGAGATTAAAATCCCTGGGAAGAATGAAAGTTTATACATGTTTGAGGTTTCACCATATATATGCTTTAACACGAGGTGAAAGTGGCTGCAAAAACCATAGTTCCTTAATTAGTGAAGGTTTGCAGTCTTTTAGTGTCCTCCCAGTGTGGAAAGTTTGTATCGCGCGGGGGAGAAATCCCCGCACACTTTTGAAGCTTCTATATATTTACTATTAAATTTTCGAAATCTCCCCCTCGCAATTTCCAAACTTTCCAGTCAGGGTGTCCTCTAGTCATACTGCAGCCTTCTTGGATAACAATAGGTCAGCTTTAAGTATTATAATGTGTTCTAGAAGCAACTGTGCACGAAAGCTATATTGTCACATGCCCTAAATCAGTAACTTCTGATGGCAGTTGGGAAGTATGTGGATGAGTGTTGGACATCTTTATTTGAGTGTTGAGATATTTGTGAGTTGATCTGTTTTCTTATAAGAGAGCTTCAGATTCATAGGGATGCAACTATCTGAAAAGTACAAGGAGAACTTCAACATTTCGAGCAAAGGCCCTTCATCAGGAAGTTATAGTAGTGCCGGGTTGGGAAAAATTACATGGGCTTTTGTGTAATTTTCTCGACCTGTACTACTAACTTCCTGACGAAAGGCCTTCCCTGTAGACGTTGAAGTTCTCCTTGTATTTTTTAAGTAGTTGCATCCCTATCAATCCGAAGCTTTCTTATTATTGGCACTACCTACACTGACTGTTCTGTTTTCTTATGGTGACAATTACTCCAATGCTAACACAAATCATGTAGACTACATTTTTTTACTCCTACATTTTAGCACACGAACATAACATATTCAGACCAGTGTTCCATTACCCATTTGCCCAGCTAATATATAAATACATGATTCATTGCATTGAGCATAATTGTGAATACATGTGTGAGGCATATAATATAATACCTTAAGGCAGATGATTGGTAGATAGGCTTAAATAATCAGGCCTAGCCAGTGAGGTTTCCAGAATACCAATAATACTTGCTCAATATACCAGGCTACATTTGTCTTGGCCCTTGGGATACTTGTTTCCATATTTTTGATTATACATGTACCATCCAAGTCTCAAATTTCAATTTCCAACCTGCAAACGGGAATACTGTGCCTTACAAAATTAAGGAATAGTTACAGCATGTGGAGGATGTAGACTAGGTCTCAATAGTTGCATAATTGCTGCTGCATACAATGAGGCAGCACACTGTCACTATTCTTGACACTGTTTGACAATCTATACATTGTAGCAATCTCTACCTTGTATCAATCGGTCAGGGTGTCAGTCGGTTTGGTTGTCTCCCTCGATATTTTGTGTTATAACTTGTGCAAATTTCAATTGGAGAACATAATAATGGATTCCCATTCCAATTAGTAAATTCCAATTACTAAATTTCAATTAGTAAATTCCAATTAGCAAATTCCAATTAGCAAAGGTAATAAACTGAGAAATAGACAGAAATTGTTTGCAGTATGTGTATTATGTTTCCATTCAGTCTCTTTATCTGACTATCTGATCTGTGGACTGAATTGTAAAACTCTATCAAATGTTTATTTTTAAAAAAATCATATAATCAAGGGGGCAGTGCTCTAGGAGCTGGTTATATTAGCCGGCTTGATCAAGACATTAACAATCGAAAATTAGGGGGAGGGGAACTTGTTTACACCAGATGATCTTGATACGCGGAAAAGTACTGGCACTAGTTGTCAAATAGAAATCCATTTTATGATTAAAACAACTGAATATCTCCTGTAATATACTTTATTTCGATTCCATATTTTTGTCAGAGCTATAGTTCTCACAACCAAACATAATTACAAAATTTCAACTAGTTTCATAAAGAATAACGAAAGATATAATTGACTGAATACATCAAAATGGATTTCTATTCGGACAACCCTTTCTGAGCGCTGATTGGCTAAAATACGAACACGAGATCACCTGGAATAGTGTACACTTTGTCATGAAAGTCAAATTCATGCTCTATTGGACAAAATTACTTTATATGCAAGAAATAAAGGAGTTATCCAGAAAAATATCCATTTCTATAAATATTGTTGTGTTAATTGAGATTTTTATCCAGGCTGGTGATTTTACATGGACAAATTTCAGCTGACTGACCATGCGCCCCTTTTGACACAAATACCAACCTATCTATTGAGAGTGTCAAACGTGCGATAGTAACTACTAGTATAAATATAAAGCAGACAACCCAAACAAACATGTGCTTGATATTAATTAGTTTTATTGCAAAAACAATTATTGTTTTGACAAATAATTAAATACACAAAGGGAAGTAGAAGACTTGCTGCTCAAGTCAATCTGAGTCAGATTAGTTGCGAAATATGCAACTAATCCAACTATAGTCTATAGTACTGTAGCTAGTAGAGCGAGACTTCACAATTTTCAAGAAACTGGCCTTTTGCAAGAAACCAGACACCAGATGTTGAAGCAAACTCTTCCTACACGGCTAAAAATGATCAGGTTGTTGCAATAGTTGATGAAAACAGGATAGAACAATGTTTTACTGCCCACATTGTTCACAGTTGTCAACAAATATTGAACAATATTGTTACACCCGATTTAGAAAGTGTGAACAACGTGGGCAGCAAAACATTGACATTGTTTATTGTTAACAGCCTTTTTTCGTATTGCCACCCATAGTAATACTTCATGTAAACCTACACCTGGCGATGACGAGGCAAGGCAGGAGGAAATCCTCCCCTACAATATCACACATTTATTAAAGTTAGGTCTAAGCTTAGTTCAAATTCACTATTATTTCAAACCATTTGAGCATAATAATAATAATAATAATAATAATGACTTTATTTAAACTGGAGAAAAAAGACCGATCAGCATATTTACAAGAAATAGTTGGTATTAACCGGTGACCAGCATCGTAAAGGATTTCTATGGTAAAAAAAACCCCACAAATTACTAGTTTACACTACATTACTATTTTACACTACATACTGTATATGTTCTTTTTTGTCCATATTTAATAAATACTTAAATACTTTAGTTTTAAAGTTTGATAAAGATTGTACTCTACGCAGTTCTTGAGGTAGCTCATTCCAATCTTTAGAAGCAGCACACTTAAACGACGATTGTCCCATTTTCGTTTTTGTTTTGATAACATGCAATAGTATATTGTCAGAAAACTTGCCAGTACGAAAACATATAAATAATTTGAACGTTTACGATACATAATTTTGTTTGGAACACAGGCGGAGCGTCAAAATACACGTCTGCTCACGTCGCCTCACTAGCTCACTCACGTCGCCTCACTAGCTCACATACGTTTTGGGTGTTCATTAGGGTGCTTCTAGGCCTGCTGAAAGTGGAACACTACAACTTTCGTGGCTTATGCAGGCAACTGATTACTCACTCTTACTGATCACACTCACATGGTCCAGAACTGGTGAAATGATTGTGATGGAAATCTTTCCTGTCTGTTGTTCCATTAAGTGATACTAAAACCGTCTGTACCAGTGTGGGTAGTACCAATGTGAAATTGCTGTGCTGAGTTGTTATATTACTACCTGAAAAAACAAGCAGGAAGGGCCTTCGCTCGAAACGTCGGGTTTCATAATGATTCAGCTTGTTTTGTTGTCAATAGCAGCTAGGGTTCAATTCGTGCTACTCCTTGTACTCCCTTTATACTAATTGGATGGAATTCTCACAGTTTCATGAGTACTTGGAAAACTCTTAAAAACTTAGAGAATTTTAGAAGAAAACGAAAGGTCTTCGCTTGGCCAAGCTGGGGTAGAAAGAGGGGTATTATAGGAATGCAGAAACTATTCTCATGATATTTCAACAGTTTTCCAAGGATACAGTAGTTGTCTTGGAATGATGTTAGGCTAATGTGTAATTTGTTATTTTGCTCTTTAAAAACTCCTCACCCTTTGAATCCAATTTTTCAATAGCAGCACAAATCCTGAAAAGGTTTGGCATTCTCGTAACTTTTCTTGCATCACTACTGACCATTTTGTTTCCAAATTTTCTCCTATTCCTTATTGCTCCGCTTCAGACACTTTATAAGTTGGCAGTGCTGGAAAATGTCCAGCAGCCAGCAGCACCGCTGCCAGGAAATTTTAAACAAAATATCTTCGCAGGAAATCTTCTTAAAGACCACGTAAAATCCGTTCTGCGCAGGCCTACATTCCAGTGGTCGGGACCCGACGCACCTTCCTAACTTTCTTGAATTGAATCTCTAGTCTGTATTTATTTAGCATAGCGAACCAGAAGAGTGTTAAAAATTCGGTATAATATATATCTAATCATATTTTGAAACTGTAGCAGTGAGTTCAAAATGTAAACAAAGCGTTTGTTTACATTACGGACTTTACACGGTCTTTAAAAGTTTATCACAATATGCGGCACTGTAATAGTTATAGCCACGGTTTGTGGCTATAAAGTAGGCCTGCTTCCAGCATCGTAATAATAATAATACTTTATTTAAAGAGGGTAAACGCTAAACAGTTACAAAACTGATAAACCTGCGGACTGCAAATATTATAAAGTAGATATACACAATAAAAACTATATACTAGACATTACATCCATATATTAAAGCTATGAATATATATTACAGGCGGATCATTATATTATACACAGTAAATAAAACCGATCAGAAATGATTGACCAACGCCTGGTCGTTTTCTCACATGCAGAGGTAAAGAGTTCCATGCCTTAGTACTATTACTGTAACAGTAAAAGAGCGTCCCATTTCAGTGAAATACTTAAAACGCAGGCAAACATAATTAAATTCATTATATACTTAGTGGATTTAGTATGGATGTCACAATATCGAACAAGAAGTTCAGACATGTAGTCAGGTAATTCAATCCTGGATACGCTTAAATGAGATACATATAAGCTTTGGATTTCAACTTCTTTATAAAACGGTATCCACCTAAGCTTATTAAAAATAGGAACTGACCTCGCATGACTTTCTTTGTCTAAAATTAGACTAGCAGCATATATCTGCAACTTCAAAACGTCATGCCTTAAACGGCATACCGTCATGGTTTGTGGCTATAAAGTACGCCTGTTTTCGGCATACGTCATCGTTCTCTGAAATCTCTTTTAAAAAATAGCTTTTTAACTTTTTCTTGTTTGCAATTTCAGGTCACACCATTTATCCATAACCCAACTAAAACGTCTTGAATTAGCCTCAACCATGTTGCTGTAGTCCATTTCCGTCGTGTTATGAAAATGGCCTCGAAACAAGAAGGAAGTGTTATTCGTCCACGCACTATGTACCAATGTAATGAATGTGGAAAAATTTTCCCTGCTTATTCCAAGTTAATAAACCACGAAAGAATTCATACTGGAGAAAAACCGTTTGTCTGTCGTATTTGTTGCAGGGCGTTTACACAGGAAGCTCACCTGAAACGTCATCACAAAGTCCATGACAATCAACGACCTCACGAATGTGCTTTCTGTGATAGAGCGTTTAAACACAAAGCACATTTGAAAAGACACGTCAAGAGTCATCATAGTTATAGTTACCAAATGAGCAAGACAGACCAATCTTATTTCAATGACCCTGAAAACTACCAATCACATAAGTTGTTGAATGACCAGACAGGTCCAAATGGGGCACCACCAGCGTATTTGAAAATACACACCGACAGTCATCATATATACAAAACTGATGAGGCAGGCGAATCTGTTTCCCTTGATCCTGAAAAGCCAAACTACCAAGCAAATAAGTTAGTAAATGGCAAAACAATTCCAATTTGGGAACCACTTGCGCCTCTGAAAAGTCACACCGAAAGTTCTCATAGTTACAGCATAGATGAGACAGGAGAGTCGGATTTCCAAGACCCTGAAAAACTAAACCACCAATCAGATGAGTTGGTAAATGGCAAAACAAGTCCAAATGGAGAAAGCCTGAACGGACACGTAGAGGGAATATATGAATGTCAGTTGTGTAGTAAAGTGTTTAAGCGCAGGTCTAATTTGTTAAAACATGAAAGGAACCATGCTCAGAACAAAGTATTCAGATGTGACGTATGTGGGCAAGCATTTCCCGAATTGCAAGAACTGGCTTTTCACAGAGCTCACTGTGAGACAAATTACTACAAGTGCCAGATTTGTGACAAGGAATTCGGGGCAAAATTTAGCTTAAAGTGCCACGTAGAAACACATTCAAACGAGAAATCTTACATATGTGAAATATGTGGTACACGATTTAAGCATGCTCGTTCTTTAACCACTCATAAAAGAATGCATACTGGAGAAAATAATTCTGCCTGCGAGTTCTGTGGTAAAGTGTTCATACGACCAAATGATTTGGTTGTCCATAGAAGAACACATACTGGAGAGAGACCTTATGAATGTAATGTTTGTCATACAGCCTTCAAACAAAAAGCACACGTTGAAAAACACAAGGAGACAATTCATGGTAAAATGAAACCAAAAACCATTTCCACAAGTTCACACGAAAGAAACGGTTACACGAAACTGCAAAGAAAATCTGAAGAGAAGCCAAATAAGATTGGAATTTCCGCTGAGACTTTATATACTGATGACAAGTTTACAGCACAAGATGGATATCATGTTGAAGATCTCAATGGCATAAATGATTTAACTTCGGAAACAGAACCAGAAGAATCGAAACCCGAAAACCCCTTTAAGGAAACGTCATTGAGTACTTCTCCACCGAGACCAAATACGTGCGAAACTTGTGGAAAATCATTCACGCAGAAGAGTTACTTGGTTGTACATAGAAGAATTCACACTGGAGAGATGCCTTATGAATGTGACATCTGTGGTCAGGCGTTTAGGCAGAGAGCACATATGGTGAAACATAAGAAATCTATTCATAAGCAAGGTAAATTATCAAAGCAAGGCAAAATTAAGATTTCATCAAAGCCAATTGCTCCATCCGAAAGCGATTCATCCACCTCGGTCAATGCAGCAAATGGACACGAAATGTTCCGCGAAAAATTTGCTGAAGTTGACAATCACATACACAACAACAAAAATAATAACGCAATACCACATGATGAGCATTTAGTATTTGAAAACCAAAATGGTTATGACGAGCTGAAGAAGACATCTAAGAGAAGGCCGTTTCAGTGTGATATCTGTCATAAAAAATTCAGACAGAGAGGATATCTAAATATACATAAGAGAATACATACTGGTGTAATGCCTTATAAATGTAACATTTGTAACAGAGCGTTTAGGCAGAAAACTCACGTGGTCAAACACAAGAGGACAATTCACAAATTGAAGAAACTGAGGACAATCCAACAAATGGAAGATCTTGAAAACTATCCTGAGGCATCACAGGACAGAAACAACGAAGCACCACAGGATGAAAACAGCGAAGCATCACAGGATGAAAACGTGGAAGAAAGAACTTCAGGAGAGGTTTTTACAAGCGAGTATTCAATGGTGGGTGACCAAATTTTTGAAAAGTACGGTACTGAATCATCTATTTCTAAGACGGCAGACGTAGACGCTTTGAAATATGATGAAGGCAGCTTTATTGGCAAGCCATCCAATACATCAATCGACTGTGGTGAACGTAGCTCTACTGCCAAAGCATCGCATGCGCCAGCTCACTCTGATCGAAGTAGATCTTCCACCAGGCCATCAAATGTATCAATCGACAAACCACATGCGTGTGAAATCTGTGGTAAAGCATTTAAACGGAAACATTATTTGGCTATTCATAAAAGAATGCACACCGGAGAACGGCCATATCCATGTGTGGCTTGTAGCAAGAGATTCAGGCAGGATTGCCACTTAAGAGTACACATGTCGAAAGTTCATCCTGATGAGTATCAAGTTATGCTGTCAAGAGCGCCAACGACCTATAAATGTAGATTCTGTGACAGAGTATACAAGCGAATACATCTTTTGAAATTGCATGAAAGATCTCATGGTGTTGAAGAATATAGCGAGACATCAGGAACGTTACCAACTAACCAGAGTGAAGCGAAACTCTCTGTCAAACCCTCTTCCACGAGAAACTCACAAACTCTGCCAGTCAACCTCAAGAAATCCTTGATCAAACCGTCAATCAAGAAAACCCCTCAAAACCTTCCAGTCCACCGCGGTAAAGCTTTTCCTTGTCAGTTTTGCCCCAAGGCATTCAAATTGAAGCAACACTTAACTTCACATGAAAGAGTGCATACAGGAGCAAGACCTTTTGTGTGCAGTACTTGTAGCAGAGCTTTTAAACAATCCAGTCATTTAACTCGACATAAGAAAATGCATGACATGGGAAAGAAAGTTAGCGAAAAGGACGCGATTGAGCCTCCTAATGATATCAAGCCTTACAAAAATGAACAATCCCGTCATTTAGCTCGCCATATGAAAATGCAGGACAAAGGAAAGAAACGTGGCAAAGGCGTCGCAACTGCCCCTCCTAATTATACAAATCCTTACAAGTGTAGAATCTGTAGCAAGACCTTCAAATCAAAGAAAGGACAATTATATCATATTTCAAGATGCACTTTGGCAGCCCATGAATTCAATGCAAGAAAACGACGGCCTCAAGTAAAGACTGATAAAAAAAGGGATGGAAATAAACCCTACCAATGCAATAAATGTGGCAAGCAATTCGATCGAAAGCAAATACTTGTAATTCACGAAAGAGTTCACTCTGGAGACCGACCTTATGAATGTGATATTTGTGGTAAGAGCTTTCCCATCGCCGGAAACCTTGCACGACATAAGATCATTCACACTGGCGAAAAACCTTATGTTTGCTATATTTGTGGAAAAGGGTGTACGCAAAAGAGTAACATGGAAGCCCATGTGAGATTGGTTCATAAGGTGGAAACCGATGGAGACGAATTTATCAAATATGAACGTAAAGGAAACAAGAAGGAGTCTAAACGTAAGAGTGCTAACATTATTTCTAAACGCAAGAGCGAAGAAAATGGCGACGATGAAATTCATAATAATTGCAAGGAACATGAGTTGAATACCAAAACAGAATCGAAGGATCCCGATGAGGAACTTTATCGATGTTGCGAGTGTGGCAGGGGGTTTGATGAAGAGAGCAGTATGATGGATCATTGCATGGAGGCTCATTGATGGGTGCGTGTATTATTTAAAGTGTGTATTCACTATATTACAGTCCAGGGACCTGTTGTATAAAAGGATAGTTACAAGTCAACCAAAGTTAGTGCGAAAGTTAACCAATGAAAAATCGCGTATTGTAGAGTTAGCTACTATTTAACTACAAAATTGTGGTTAATAGTAGCTAAGAGTTTTATACAACAGGTGCCTGGACTAGTGAATTGCGAACTTCAGAATCAAGGCTAACTTCAGCATTACTGAAGTAACGCCCATGGTAAACTAGGAAATATTGTTGCGAATACATTGTTTCCCAGTTACGGTGGACTATTAAAGAAACATAAAAGATTTGTCAGAAACATTTGTTTGAGTAAATTCCTCGAGTAGAACAAGTACTGGCTTATGAAGATGTGCTGTAATACGTTTCAGTCTTGCCTGGAGAGGACATTTTTTTCCAAAACAATGTTCTCAAGTGCATGGGGAAACATTTACCAAAATATCAAGATTTTACGTCTCAATTGACAAAATTTATTTCGCAACGCCCTCTCTATTCTTTTAAATTAAATTAAATTAAATTAAATTAAATTAAATTAAGTACAGTATCTGTTCGCAACAGTGTTTCTTAGTGTATAGGAAGAAAAGGAGATACTGTAACAATATTCGCTATAGTGTACTTTTGTCATTTGTAATAAGGTAATTTGTACTTGTCTTTCCGTGTCAAAATGGTCAATATGTATGTCGTAAGGTGGAATTAATAAGTCTAGATTTTTGACAAAACTAATATTCTCTATAAGTGTACATTATCCAGGTGTCGTTTTGCGTGTTTAACATTAATGTATTATTGGTTGTATTATAATATATTGGGAAAAAAAGACGGCGACCACTGTATAGACAAACGTAATTGATCCTTATTTTTAAAATAATTGAAGTGCATTATGTGAAATGGATGCTTTGTAGTTACCTTTCTTCTAGATCTTTCTTTAGGCCATCTACACGATACGATTTTTATTTATTTATTTGACTTTGCCAACTAGGACAGGGTCACCACAACAGCATATGCCGATTACTGTGGACCCTTTTTACCTAACCCACCCTGGCGCTAATCACTTCGAGTCTTGGACTACAGTAGTCGTATACGATTCTTATCGTGGCGTATGTACTCGAATAAATGTATGTAAACTCTCCTCCGCAGAGCCTCCTTAAGTATTTACAAATAACTTACATGAAGTTTCCTGAATAAAAGTGAGCGCGCGCGTTGTGATGGGAAGATGGAAATGAAGCCGAGAACTGCGAGAAGGCTCTGCCACATAATGCAACGAAGTATGGTTTTTGAACCAAACTTTTGTTTGACACTTTTAAAAATTGAAATCGACGGAAATGTGGAAGAAATATAAATAAATCTTCATAATCTGAGTATCGAAGTTCAGTAGAGTCATTTTTATAAAGAAATGTTGCAATTTAGAGGATATTTATAAGTAGATAGCTCGTATCCATTTATATTCATTTGCAATTTCCCAATATTTTTCGGTGCAAATGGACAGACGAAGATATTGATATTGGATTCACTCCAAGAGACTCAAGTACGCCTGAAAAGGAAAGTGGAACATATGGAACATGTTTTAACACCCTTGAAGGTTGATATCGAAACCGAACTCCAAACGATTATATCCGACGCCATATTGGTTGCATTGACTAGCACAGGCTTCTTTATTTCGCTTTTCCCATCACTCCTTGCGCGCTCACTTTTTGCTCACTAGAAACGTCATGTAAGCCTCTGCGGAGGAGAGAGTGCGTGTAAAGATGTCATATTTCGCCATAAATTGATGAACAGGAATAGTGGCGTCAGCAGTCGTTTTTATACGCCAGAATGACAATCGTATACGACTAGTCGTATCGTGTAAATGGACCTTTTGGAGAACTTCGTGCAATATCCCCCACCCTTCACTCCCGTTAGACTTTGGATTTGACTGCAAATGCGAGTACAAGATTCGTAAAGCTTATAGTAATATATATTGTACAAGTAAAGAATAGTAATACTACTCTTTACTTCTACAGTATAATTAATTGACTGTTACAAATGTAATCGCAATAACGCAATGTAACTAGGCTAATTAATTAAGGAACAATCGCCATATTCCTTAGCCAACCTCCATATAAGACGTCTGGTTACGAGTGCGTGGTGCGTTTGCACATTGCGATGCCAATCCTGAAGGACTGCCATCGCCACAATGCCTAAAAGAGAATTTATCAAAAAAAAGTTCAAACACAGCTACAGAGTTAAGTTATGGAATGTACTTCCGGCTGATGTTAGACCGTCCAGTAATAAGCCGTCCAGTTCTCGATGAGCTGCGTCACACTGTATATATCGTAATAATTATTCATTTGTTATTGTAGTTATGTGTTTGTATAATTGTCAATGATTGTATTTTTTGCATATGTATAGTCCGACCACACCTCCCTCCCCCGTTGAAACAAGCTTTTGCTGATGGAGCTAGCGTCGTTAAATGAAGTTTAAAAAAATCAAAGGATCTCGGGTGGACTCTTCGTTCCCAGGGTTTCGCAACGCACGCAACCTCGTACCCAGGGCTTCTGCGCTTATTGCTCTCAGAAGCAATAAGCGCAGAAGCCCTGGGTACGAGGTTGCAACGCACGCAGTCCTGCGGACTAGTCCCCAGTCCTCCTTAGTTAATAAGAACGAGAACGAGTACTATGAACTATGGCGTAATATGGGCCTAGCAGTCGCCCGCTTTCTTCGGCGAAATGCGAAAAATTTCGCGCGGGAGAGAAAAAATTTCGCTTCACCAGTGAGTAGAAGTCAGTTCTGCTCACTGCGAAAGCGGATAAAGTGCGAAAACTCAATAGAATCGCTCATCTGCAACCATCCGTATTTCGCAGACACAATTTCTCGCGAAGAATTTCGCCGTCGTGCATGGAATCAGGCCTTTAAAGCCCGTTCTCCACTACGCGACGTGATCCGAAAATCCGGCAACGTGATTGGTCGGCGAAAAAATTCGCGGCGAAAAAGTAGGATCGCTTCCTACTTTTTATCTGTTCGCGCGAATAAATTCGCCTAGTGGAGAACAGGCTTAAGGTCCGGACGCGATTCGACAACGCGACGCGATTTTTCGAATCATATTTTCAATCGATTTTTCTACATATCTTTCAAAATTTGCTCTCATTGGCTGTGTTATTAACTTTCAAAAACTAAAAAATCGCGTCGCGTTGTCGAATCGCGTCCAGTGTGCATGGACCTATACTATGGCACTAATCGGATTGTGCGGAGGGGTTTCACTGTCAAAGCTATATTTCCTATTTTATTAACTGTGATTGTACCCGACCTATTCGGCACAGCTGATGATATAACATTCCTGATGTGTTTATCATATTAAGTCAAATGATTATCTAGAGTTATTGCGGTTGCCATTGACGTAATTTTAAAAAGAACAAAACAATACTTAACATTTTAAAGTCGAAACGTTGATTAAAATGTTAACTATTTTCGGAGTTTCTATTGTTTTGTTCTATCTAGAATTAACCCGAGGTCTTTTACGCTTAAAACTGGCGCGATCTCTTTTCCAAGAAATGAAATTGTAGTCATTTCCTCCAGAAGATTACCAAGTAATAGACCTTTCCCGTTATGAGTGAAATTTTGATCTAGATATGCCTGGACAAAAATCACAGCTTGAAAGAGCATCACAAAATTAGTAATATTCCGAAGTTTCGTAGTTGCGAAATGTTGTAAAATGCGGATAATATAGCCTTGCGAAGTTTGCCGTTTTTCAGTCATTTTGTATTTTAATATAAACGGGAAATTGATAATCAGATGATCAAACTGATTATCAATACAAAATGACTGAAAAACGGCAAACTTCGCAAGGCTATATTATCCGCATTTTACAACATTTCGCAACGAAACTTCGGAATATTACTAATTTTGTGATGCTCTTTCAAGCTGTGATGAAATGTTTGTCCAGACTTGTCTAGATCAAAATTTCACTCAAAAGGGGAAAGGTCTATTGTATTGACGTGTCAGTTTCTCTAGATTGATTATAGGATTGCGGCACCAAGTTGCCACTATAGTTTAAGGACGTTTTCTACGTTGCTCTTGGCAGCAGAGGCATCTTTAATATATTCCAAACGACATCAGGAATATTTTGGAATCGTCAACGAATGATTCCAAATTGGACACTTGGGGTATTCGAGGGAGGTCATCTATTTTGTTGCATATAGTAGTAATGGTGACAATAGTACTCCCTGTGATACACACGTACAAACGCACAAGTTGTTACAGATCTGCAAACAAGGTGTTACAAATCTGTTCACAAGTTAAGCTGTCAACAAGTTGTGTTCGCACTGCTTGTTCTCAGTTGTTGTAACAAGTTTGGAACAAGCTGTTAACAACTTGTAACAAGCTTGGTGGCATTATCAGACTTGTAGCAAAGTTGTTCTAACAAGTCTGATAGCGGTCATGATATAAAAAGAATGTTACAAGGTTGATGACACAAAGTTGTAACAATATTGTTATCATATGACTGTATCGAACTTGTTAGAACAACCTTGCAACAAGTCTGATAAATACTGGTCAACAAGGTTGTTACAAGTTGTTAACAGTTTGTTCCAAACTTGGGACAAGCAGTGTGGAGACAACTTGTTGGCAGACTTGCTACAAGATGTGAGCCTTTTGCGTTTGTACCCCGTTAGGTTGCTCCATTTACTATTCTAGAACATTTGGAATAGAAGTGTGCCGATCCGATCGGATTCGTTGAGATTTCGGAACCAAAATATTTATTCATATCGGATCGGATTCGGACGAAGTTGTTTCGTAGTTGGATGAGGGTCCTGAAGGGGGGGTCCCAATCCCATTTCCCACCTGAAATTTTGGCAAAATCCCAGTCCCAGTTGGATTTTGATTAGAAATCCCAGTCCCAGTTATTGAAATCCCAGTCAATAAAAAACCCTTTATTTATCGGTGGAATAAATAGTTTTAAGACCTTCTAAACAAGTGGCGGACACTTTATGAAATATTATTATGCTCGTGCCGAAGGCACGGAAAATTTTTAAATTTGAATCCCGGAAATGGCATTTGCAGCATTCTGAGACACGCATAATCAGAAAACCCAGAATTCCGGACGCCAGAGTATGCCTGTTCGCAGGTAGTGCTGTGAATAATATAGTTAACAACAAAAATCATGACCAAAGACACAAAAAACGGATCAAAATTGTATTTTAAAATACTCAAAACGCAGAAAAATTGGGAATCGAGTCGCATTACCTCAAACCCATTCCCATTTTTGAGGACTTCATTTCCCATTGCCAGTGGCCAAATCCCAGTCCCAGCAACCCAAATCCCATTTTCCCAGTCTAAAAATAGATCAATCCCAGTTCCCATTTTACCCCTTCAGGGCCCTCTTGGATCGGATCGGACTTCGATATCCGAAATAAAATTAATTAATTATCCACGCATTATCGCAAGAATTAATTATCCATGCATTTATCAAAGCATTATCGCGGTTGTCGCTGCATTATTCGTTTCATACTTCAATTGGACGTCACTTTGTCAGCTTCTTGACATGTATTTTCTTGCTTTTATATTTATTTGGTTAAATATTTCAACTTGATATGAGAAATTTATTTTATTAAAGAATTCTTCGGATCGGATTGGAATTCTTTATCAAAACTCGGATCGGATTCGGATTAGACAATTTCGGATCGGATTTTAAACATTAGGCAATTGTCGGATTATAAACGTCCAATCCGATCCGATGCACACCTCTAATTTGGAACACTGTTCTGGAACGATATGAAATGGAGTGAACACGGTGTTCTGGAATAGTGTTTAGTTACTATACAGGGTGTATAAAAAAAACGCAACCTCGGAATTTCCTAAGAAATCAGTTTGCAATTCTTAAGCATAAAAGATTTTAGGCCCCTGGGAATTGAAATCGAATTGCTAATAGATCATATTACTGTTGTTGTGCATTAAATAAATGCATAAATTTTGCTTTATGCACTCGCGTGTGCAGTAATTTTGACAGTTATGCTATTTTAAATTCCCAGGCGCCTAAAATCTTTTGTCTTTAAAACAATGTCGATTTCTTGGGAAATTCCGAGGTTGCGCTTTTTTTGATACACCCTGTATATGCGTGCCTGCAACCATGCATTACTATATCATTACCTATTCGCATAATAAATCGTATAATGATTTGCTGTTATTTGTATATCCAAGTGCACTTGTGCAACGTTCTTAATTACTCGTTGATTTTGCTCGACCTGCCTTTCAAATAGTATATAATAAGTACAATATTTCGCCTTCATTTAGCTTCATTTCCAATCACGTGAAAATGGGCAGTCTCACGTGTTCTGTTCTGACTTCCACAACTCGAAGATCGGGGTAGTCAGAACAATTCAGAACAGTCATGTCACTGTCTTCTGTTCCATCCCATTAGTGTTCTGAATACCGATGAGCCAATACGAACATACTGTTTCCTTCCACAAAAGTAATTTCTCAACCAGTTTAGTGCTTGACAGGAAACGCCAATGTTGGTTAGTTTTTGCAATAATATCGAATGATCGATGCTGTCAAAGGCTTTCGATAAGTCAAAAGAACAACAGCAGAAAGGTTTTTATTGTCCATTGAGGTCAAAAAGAAATCACTCACTAGAATATTGAGTGTTTCGGTGGAATGGTGCTTTTTGTTTCCACTTTGATGACGGGAGAGGCATCCAGTGCGGTTTAAAAAACCGCTAAAATAGTAAATACTAATTTCTCGCAAAGCTTTGATGTATACATTGATGTAATATTATATTATTATTAGTGCATCTTCCCGTGTAGTATTATGATTTATGGGCAAACAATTACTGTAATGCTTTTAAATATTTGTTTAGTGAAAATCCTTAGGTGCGTGAAAAATTAATTCTTGGTGGGCAATTGAGGTTTTCCAATTCAGCTTACTGTTTAATATACCACGCCATTAATCAAAATTTAATGGTTAGTCGCTGGTCCAACTGTCTTTATTATTTATGGTTGGGATTTGTCTGTGAATATGAATGACATGCGTAATTGCGTAGTATTAAAATAAAAAATCGGACACCGTCAGTCAATGAGGAATATTGTTTAATATTATATCTCAAAGTCAAATTGTCCAATCAAGAAGTGAAGAAACAGCATTTGTACCACGTGACAATGTGATTTTTACGGTATTTCACTCATATTCACGATTTCGCAATGCAGTGTGAGATTTCAAGGACAAGATATTCTATCAGGTATATATCCATTAAGTAAAACCCTATATAAAGTTCTGAGAAGATCGATCAGTTACAGCCTTTACTCACTTACAGTACCTATGGGAATCATGATGGTATTGGGGAAATGTAAGCAACAGATTGACCGACCATTGACGAACACCACTCAGAGGCGTAGCCAGGACTGGGGTCGGGGGGCCAGCCCCCCCCCCCCCTCCCCTGGCAAAATTTTGGGGGCCCTGATAAAATGTATTGAGTAAAAAAGGGAATCCTTGATTATATAGCTTCATGTTGTCAATAATGCAAAAATTCTGCAGAATATATGCTTTGCTGCGCATCGGTGTGAAACCTAAAATCTTGTTCGCTTATTTGCGGCACACAGTTTGAAACACATACCTTTTTTAACCCTATTAAATTATTTCAATATGTATTAAGTGAGGCTAGATGAAGTTTAGGAGACCCATTGGAAAATTGTCAATGTTGGCGGAATCTTCGTGGTGAAGCATCGGAAAAAGTGATATGGAAATTATTGTCCAGAAAAATTTTTACCGAAAAAGTTATCGACGGGGGGGGATTTAAAATGTTGTGATCCGGAAAATTTTTTCTTGCGCGAACTTTGCGTCTCGAGTCACTGGCGGCTTGGCCCCACCTGGGTTTTTGCTGGCCCCCCTGACCAAAAATCCTGGCTACGCCTCTGACACCACTGTGAAACGTCCGCGTATTATTATAAGTGTTTGCACTCAAAAGACTGCAACTGTTGTCTAGTTTTGTTTTTACGAAGCTCTAGCTGGCAAAATGTTTGAAGAAAATTACGAGAGTTTAACAGTCGCAGTATAGCTTCGTCTTGACACGTGGAGAAAGCGGTGAAATTCCCTACCATATAGCTTCAGCCATTTCCTAGAAACAAAATACCATGAGCCAGTGTCAGTGATGATGATGTAGATGTATTTTACGTAATCATGGTATATCATTTTCAATGCCGGAACTAACGATAGCTTGTCAGTCATATTATTTTCAATGCATGTTTGTGTTAGCATTATATGTTTCACCGCAAGATGTATACAAAATATACATGTTATCATGGTATCATGCGTTTAATAATTTAGTTTTTGGCTTTTGCGCAGTCAATGCGCACGCTGCAATATATTCCACGACGTAACTAGTATGACGCGGAATTTCTTGCAGCCGCCGAAATCACAGGTAATCATTTCTTATGAGTATATAATTCAATACTATAAATGTTGGTGGCTTAAAATAAGATAAAAAAAGTTAATGAATGTCAAAAATAGTACAATTATTAATAATCTTTTGGTCCGCATTATGTGCACGCAGAAAGTTGTTGCACGCCTCCGCTCCGCTCGCCCACTCAGGCGCAGGTGAAACGACTTGCCCGCACAAAGGCCCGATTTTGGATGATTTATCAATTATATCGGCACCCACATGAAAACAATCTCTTCAAAGCGGTGAAGAATGGGTTTCAAAAAACGGGATTTTTAATGGATATCAAATGGAAGAGAAGCAAATATTACTAGTAGTTATACTAGTGTTAAATCAACTTGCTCATGGTGATATTTTACGAAGAAACGGAGCAGTCGGTAAGTGCTTTTCTCCGCGTTGCCTAATGCAGTAATACTATGTTGACAAGCTACAACTGCCTACAGGCCAACTTTGTTGCTTTTATTTGACATTTTAACTTGAAGAATTATAGAATTATTTCTTATTTTATTTTATATAATCACATAGGCTGTTCTCGTGTTGAAAATCTGTGTCGATACGATGAATTCTGCAACGAAGGTATATACGATATAATTTATATTTAGATTTCAAACGTTCAAAGATCGGTGAAGTAGAACTAAAGCGGTCGGATGTGAGGTCGGATGCATTTCAAAAGTTTTCCTCTTTGAAAGCCTAGTGTTTCTAACTTTGTTATTTTATTTTGAAATAGTTTATGCAAAGGAAAGTAGCAAATTAATTCGAGAGATTCGAAACTGGAATCTTTTGTAATTTGAAACCGTGAAACGACAAGGGTTATGAATCTCTTCAATACAGCGCTAATATTTATAATTTGTATAAAAGATCAAAAGATCATTTAGAATTCTCGACTTCGTTTCTCGGTTTCTCGAGATTATATTCATTGGATTTATATTCGAATTCATTTTCGCTCAATTTTGGTATCTTTTCGTAATACTACAATATGAATATAAACGAGTATTCATTATCCAAAATTAGCTCATGTCATTCAAATTTGTAAACGCTTCATTGAAAGCGTCCATCTGGCCTCTTCCACTTTAATTTTTTCCCTCTCGTGGTTTACTAAATAAAGAATCTCTTTGTTTCGTCGAATTTCAAGTTATGTATATTTTGTGCCAAATGAAAGTTTTATATTACTGTATAAATTGTACAAGAATTGTAAGTTTTGGGTTCCAGTGGCAGTGTAGTAGCAGTGAACAACATTAATACAAGCTTTGATTGAAGGATCTAACTGCCTGAGCCACAAACTCCCAGAACGGTCGTCAGGCCGAAACCCCGAATTTATTTTTATAGTTTTCAGGCAATTAGATCCTTTGACCAAGCTGGTGATTAAAATTGTACAAAAAAGTGACTATTGGATTAAATGGAATCTGTGTTATGTGTGATGTTTGTATTGGGTGACAGTTGAAATGGAAATTTATGCAGATTACTGAGAGGAAATTATATGACTTTGGATTCTGTTCAAATATACTAAACTACTGAGAATGAATGGTTTTTTGGTCCAACATATTAATTGTGTTGACTTGGCATGGTTTGGTAAAGCCTACATTGTCATTAAGAGTAATTACAAATCTCTTTTCACTAATTGAGTAATTCAGTCTCATCTTATTGTCTATTATTTCATTGAGAAAGGAATGTGTCAGAGCTCATGTTTATAGGTTGCATGGCGATATTGGTATTAGAAAAAAAAAGGTGATCGGGTGATAGCTACTTATTCATATATCGATACTTTTTGTGATTAAAATTATTGAAATTTCATGCAATATTTTAAAATGCCAACACTAGAAAAACATATGATATAAATGCACCATTTTAGTGAATTGAGATTTATGATGAAATGTGCCTTAGTTGGACAGTATTTTGTTATTAATTTCACAGTGCCCAATACACCATTATTTTACTTATTGAGAAGAAAGCAAGGCTTTCTGCCTTTCTTTTCACACACCCACACATGCCCATGTGAATCTGGGTTTGCAATTTAAACTGCATTTAAAATTTAAAAAATTTATGTGCATCAATATGTCTTTAACCCATTAAGTTGCATTGCACCCCACTTTATTCATTATTTTACTCCGTCTAACACCAGACATTTTTATTTACTCGTCAAGGGGAGAGCACTAACGCTCCATGTGTTAATATAAGAGAAATTAGCTAAAATTCCCTTCAAAGTAATGTACTTACAAAACTAGAAAGACATTCTTATCAAAACCATGTCAGTACCCAAAAGCATGCAGTGTGAATGTACTTCCATGCACTTTTTCAAAATTAAATTTCATGTTAACCCATCGAGTGCCAGTGCTCTGCCCTTGATGAGTAAAATCATCTGGCGTTAGACAGAGTAAAATAATAAAGTAGGGTGCATTAGGGCACAATGCAACTTAATAGGTTAACTATATCATGTACAAATGTGCAGATAGTCTATTTTGAAACCCATTGAATGCAGCACTCTCCCCTTGAGGAATAAAATCATCTGACATTAGACAGAGTAAAATACTGTGAATTCGGGAAAACTATTTAAAGCGAATAATTATCGCATGTGTTGCAACAGTTGCATTAATTAACAAACCATTAGGCTGCAATGGATTAACTTTCCAGGGCTTTTCAACTCAGAAAATCTTGCAGATTTTGCAAATTTCTTTAAGTTTTGGAATTTAACCCATTAAATTGCATTATAATACACCTTTATTACTGCGGATTCGGGAAGACCGTTTAATGTGAATAACAATCAACGTACCTGCCTAGAAACTTCATACTTTACACCAGACAACTGAAAACTTGTCAGGGGATTGTTTGATGTTAATAATGGATTTATTTAACCAATCTGGCAATGTCTCTTATTCACACATCAAGCAGCAGTGCGCCCCATTGTATTATTTTACTCTAGCTACCACATTATTGTACCTATATCCAAGGGGAGATTAATATTGTTAATTATTAAGGGATTACACTAGTAAATAACTGTTTCTTGAAATTCACATGTGTGTTCACACAAAAGTAAACTTTTATTTCTGTGCTTATAATGGGCAGTGGCAGATGTCACTGGAGAAACATTATTTCCTTAAGTTTCTGAAATATGACTGATTAGCTATTAAGTAAGCACTTGAGTAGGTTTTTTCAACTGTGAATGCCTGATATCCTTAAAATTAACTAAGCAGAACTAAATTACTGTTTGCAAAGAGGTTTCAGGTATGAAATTTCCAGTCTTACCAAAAAGTGGGAATACATGTATATTGGCAACCAAAATATACTGTATGCGCCATCAATTTTTATCTGCCATTGTTCACAGGGAGCAATCATCCAAATATATTATTCAAAGTTTTGATACTACAGTCATGCCAATAGAAGCGTTCCGAAAAATGTTGACCAATACAATTTGATAAGTTCCTTAAAAAGTTCCTAACTTCCTGTTTCATTGACCAATCAAATTTTAATTTTGAGCAATCTGATTGGTCAATGAAACAGGAAGTTAGGAACTTTTTAAGGAACTTATCAAATTGTTGAGGATTAATTGCTCAGAGGTGTTCCTTCAAGTTAGGAAATGAATTGGTCAACATTTTTCAGAACACTTCTATTGGCACGCCTGTAAATTGAAATTGTTCTGAGTTTCCGTTATTTTGTATTTGATCAACCAATTATAGGTATATAAATTTCTTTCCATCTGAAATTTGTAGAAAGGTTGGAATATGTTTGCAACCTAAATTTTCAATCCCAATACGCCAATAAGTGTCTGGCACTAGTTTTATTAGTGATTATATTCAAAAATGATAAAAAGTCTATAAATGAATGGTATAAATTTAATGAACAATTGAATTTATACAATGTACTATTAATTTTTTTACACCATGACCAAAGTGTTAATATTATTTTACCTCATTCCTGAATCGTAAGTAATTATAATGATGGGGAAAACTTTATGAATTATGTGCTGATGTTTTATCTGCTAAAAGGTATATATTAACATATAGAGCTCTTTTATTGTGAGAAACTATGCCTATGGGAAAATATAATAAAAAATAATCACCAGTTAAAAGATAAGTGGCTGATTAATTGTACATTTGATGTTTATGTGGAAGATTTTGAAACAGATATTTTTGCTAGAACTAGTGAGTACAATCGTTGATAAAACCCTTTGGACAGTAGGGCATCTGGCACCTGCTCAACTACCCCTAGGCCTAGCCTGCATCACAGACACTACCCCGTGCCCCCTTTAAAATTTTGTTTTATCGCATTGTATCATATAAAATAGACTGTGCAATACGTTCTTAATGAAAACATGATGTCATACAGCAACATTGCTTAGGGGGGGGGGAGAAGTATATTCTATGAGAAGTATAGGGCTGTTTATGAATCTTACTTTTTTTAATCCTGAATTTTTGACAATGTTTTTCAAATTGCCCGAACATGTTTTGTCAATGATTGTAGTCCAAGGCCAAGCTTTTAATTTTGGGTTTGCGCACTATATTTTCATTGAATTATTAAAGAATGTAGATAAGAAAGATATATTTGTCAGAAATAGTGTGTTGCTAATTGCCTTAATTTGACATTAGTGTGTTTTAAATGAGCTATATCTGGCATATGCCTGTACAGACTAATATATGACTGATTGTACAGAATGCTTGGTATATTTATATCTTCTGACTTTTTTGGCACAAGAAGTGTGAAACCGCTGTAGAATTATTCATTTTTTTAATTCTTTTCGTTCATTTCTTGATATTCAGTCTGAAGCTTAGTCCAATCACTATTCTCCTTTTTGGCTTTAATTAGCCTTTCTCACGATGACGAATATCCGCCAATGCAGACAATTAAAACAATGTGAAAAGCAATTTTTCAAAATAAACTAACCATTTACAAAGTAAATTTACCATGATTCTTCCAAAAAATTATAAAAAGTCGCTGTTATGTGGACTTATCGCGCAGACTTCGGCTGAAAAGCCAGCCAAAAATGGCGGCGTGAGAAAGGCTAATTCTGTTTCCCGCTATCAAAATAAACGTTTTGCAAATAACTGCAATTTATTTTCTTTGACTTTGTTATGTTACAGTAAAAGCAAACTGTGTATGTACAATGCAACTGGATAAAATCTGTAAAAGATGTTATTTTTTCATTATTTGGGATCATGATCATTGACATTGTGTGGGATTGTAGAGTCAAATTAGTTTAGCTTGTCTTATCTGTGGTAATGGTTATTCAAAAGCCGATTATGTTATAATCCCAACCAAAATAGGCCAAAGTTTCCAACTGACAAACACATTGCAGACTTTCAGCCGCCTTGCTTACTGGAATTTTCCATAATTACGGGTAACTCTTAACTTTACTCTTCAGGTCGAGATGTCCGGTGGGCATTGCCAATTACCAGAAAAATGACTATGTCAAATTTTGGCAAACTAGGATTATATGCAAGCTGGGAGGGATATACGGTCCTGTAATTAACTAATTATATATATTTATTTTGGGAAAGTGAGATACTCTAATTAAGTATGTGAGAAAGTGGATATTTTAGATTATTGTGGAAAGTGAGAAAGTGGATATTTTAATTAAGTATGTATGCGAATCGTTTTGTCGATTCAATTAAAAAAAGGTCACGGACGTTGGCGGACAGTGACTGTAGTATAGGACTCTAAATATTTAAAGAGTCAAGTCCGTTCTGCTCATGCGCGTGTTTTGTTTACATTTTTTGTTTCAAACAATAGATAATTTAATTAAAATTCCGATCTGTGGGCCCACAAGTTAGCTCATTACGCATTCAGAATATATCACGAAGGAAAAATTGAACTACTAAAGCAAAAATTTAGCCCCAAAATAACAAATTTTAAATCGAAAACGCTAAGAAGCACTTCTTACAGAGGTATGGACAAAATTTGATTGAAATTTGTACACATTTAGCTCCAAAACGACAAATTTAAGATTGAAAATGTTAATAAACACATCTTTGTACAAAGATATGGCGTTTGATACAATTGATCACAAGATTCTGATAAGGAAATTGGAACATTATGGTATCAAAGGAGTGGCCAAAGATTAGTGTGAAAATTATTTATACAATAGAAAACAAATGGTGAAATATAATGGAGTACAATCTGAGGAAGTGACTATTAGAAGCGGTGTCCCCCAGGGATGTCCCTTATTTCTTTTATACATAAATTATATCCAATACTGCAGTGAACTGATTTCTATTGTATTGTTTGCGGATGACACAAACATTCTTTATAGTCATACGTGTCTTAAAAAATTGAATGAAATTTTTCAAGTTGAAATTAATAAAATTGCAGATTGGCTGAATGCAAATAAGTTATCTATTAATACAGAAAAAACTAAATTTATTCTTTTTAGAACAAAAAATAAGAAACCTAATTATTCCATAAACATTTCGATCAATAATAACAATATAAAACAAGTTAAAAACACCACATTTCTGGGAATTGTTATTGATGAATTTTTGACATGGTGTAATCACTTGGATTTGATTACCAAAAAAATTATTAAATGTGCGGCAATTATTTCCAGGATTCGACATTTCACAAACTTAAATTCCTTAAAACTAATATATTATGCTTTGGTCTATCCATATTTAACTTATGGTAATTTTATCTGGGGTAACACCTGTAAATCTCGTATTCAAAAGTTAGTGAATATTCAAAAAAAATTGTTAGATTAATGACCTTCAAATCTTATTTTGATCATTCTGAACCAATTTTTAATGAATTACAAATAGTCAATCTACACAAAATTAATGATTATTTAACAAGTTTATTCATGTTCCGATATTTCCATCTACAAAATCTACCAGAATTATTCACAAGTTATTTCTTTACTAATAAGGAAAATCACAACACAAGAAATTCTTCATTGCTACACAAAAAGTCCAGTAGAACCAACTATGCATAACATACTCTTGCTAAGGGACCGCTCATTATTTATTGTACAGGGGGGGGGATTGAGGAGAAACTGGGGGGCCTTTAAATTTTTTCAAACCTGAAAGGGGGGGCTTTGAAAAAATACAGAGAGACGAAAGAAGGGGGGCTTTGAAAAGATTTACCAGTTTGAAAAAACAGTATAGTTTTAAAAATGTATCACAAAACAACTTAACAACAAATAACAATGTTTATATACCTTTAATATTCATAAATGGAAGCCAAATAAAAAGTCTCTTATGTTCATGTATTAAAATAGACAATTTCCATTATAGACTAATTTTAGAACTAGGCAAAGAGATGCAAATCAAGGCCGGATTTTGGTGAAAATAGTAGGGGAGGTGGAAAAAAATTTTAGGGGAGGTGCAGCGGTCTAGCTTGCAACCCCCATGGAAAGTTAGGGCTTATTGTAGAACAGGCCAATATCAACGAGGTGAGGTATGCTTGTAGTGTACATATGTACCAGTGTATTATTAAATTATGACTGTATGACTCCAATCTCGCCCTTCATTACAATTGCTACAAAGTTTCTTTCAAAACATTGCATTAAAAGAGTACTTGACACAGAGATGAATGGCTATCACTGTTTCAATTTTACAGAGAAAACTTTCTTACGTCACGAATTCTAGATCCTAAGCAACCATCACATTTTCACTTTGTTCCATCATTGAAACTTTCCCAAGGGGCCAAGGGGAGGTGCATGAACTTTCAGGAGGTGCAAAAATTCTCAGGGGAGGTGCAAAACGATCTCAGGGGAGGTGCAAAACGATCTCAGGGGAGGTGCGCACCTCTCCACACTTCCCCTCAAAATCCGGCCTTGATGCAAATAAATCACCACAGCTAGAAAGAGCATACTAAAATAAGTAAATTATTGCAAAGTTTGGTTGCGAAATGTTGTAAAATACGGAAAATATAGCCTTGCAAAGGTTGCAAATTTTGTATACTTTTGTATACAAAATTTGCAAACTTTGGAAGGCTATTTTTTCTACATTTTACTAATTTTTGTTAAGATAAAAAATTAGTCTATAATGGGAATTGTCTATTGGTCCCCATTATCTATTTTTGTTTCTCTAAATAAAAAGCTAGAGAGTTTTTGTTTCTCTAAATAAAGATAAAAAGCTAGAGGGGGGAACCAAAATTTATGTTCTTGTTTTGCCTGTGGGGGGAGGGGGGGGGCTTTGAAAATTTTACTTGTCTTAAGAGGGGGGCAACGAAAAAATATTATAACTGTAGAGTTTTTCCTCAGTCTTCCCCTGTACAATAAATAATGAGCAGTCCCTAATAAAGGTATAGAAGTATGGAATAATCTTTCTGAACAATATGAAAAACAAAGGTCTTATGATTCCTTCAAAAAAATGATCAAAAACTACTTCTCACAGCTAGATTGATATACAACATGTTATATTCCTGTAATAATATACAATATCAAAATTGTATTGTAAATATACATCCTAACTATTTTTATATATTATTAATATATCCTTTGACTTTGTATTTTCTTTAAAAAAAATATTCAAACTGACATTATATTAATTATTAATTATTTTTAATTCATAATCTAGGGGCCTAAAATAAAAGCCATATGGTTTCTAGTAGGCTCCTAGCCCACATTTGTAAATATTAAATAGCACTATATTATCATCTCATGTAATGTTTTGGGCAAACTTAATTTTTTAAAAAAATGGATAAAATTTGTACAAATTGCAGTCAAATTTTGTCCAGACCTCTGCAAGAAGTGCTTCTTAGCATTTTTCATTTAAATTAAATGATAAATTATTCGTGATATATTCTGAATGCGTAATGAGCTAACTTGTGGGCCCACAGATCGGAATTTTAATTAAATTATCTATTGTTTGAAACAAAAATGTAAACAAAACACGTGCATGAGCAGAACGGACTTGACAGCCTCTTTAACGAACATAAATTGAATAACAAGCCCACGCATCTTCGATCTCGAAATTCACTTGAGTCTGTTGCAGAAAGTATGTAGTTTATGAATATTTTCTCGGTGAAGAATTGGTTGTTTAATTAATAGACCGATTCGAGAATAGCTGTCATTCTTTTCTTTTTCCAAATTTAATTTCAACCAAGGTAATCATTGCTGCCTTATAGAAACTTCAAGACTAACAGTTATACAAAGTATAAATATAATACCATGTATTTTCTTGAAGAAATTAAATATTAAAAATACCGAAGTTTATGCTAAATTTAGGAACAAGCCTGACTAGCCTCGTAACTATAATTTTCGGTATCTACTGACTACTGTATAGGTAGCAACGTTTTGGAAAATCGTCCCCGCGTATCCCGCGTTGAATGATAGGAATACCGTGCAAATATTTTAAAAAAATTATTCTTTTCAGCTGAGTTTTATCCGTATGGAAAATGCAAGAGAATCATTTTCAAGAAAGCCTTAGGACATATCACTGGAAAACGTAAGTTCTAATACATACTGCAGCATTGTGTCAATACTAGTGGGACATAATTGACTTGACGCAGACCTGGTGTTTCCTTCAACATTATTCAAACGTACATCTTTTCTTTCATTAGGGTTCAAGCACAATGAAAATGGCGTTGGCAAACCAAGTAGAGGCAGCCATATTGGCCAAAATGATTTCTTAGACAGTAACAAGTATGACATGACGTACTTTGAGAACGATGGCTCCACGAAGAATGTTCCTTCCAGTGAGCGTACTCCTGAAAATAATCGAGACGAGATCCTGCGCAGTCATGATAGAGATATAACTTATAGAAATGAATATGAATCTAAGCCCAATCAACGTGATTTTGACTCAGAGTTTGTACAAGATCAGGATGAAAAACAAATGTCTAAGAATCGAGCAGCTTTCGGCAATAATCAAGATGATTTATACGAAAGTGGTAAATATGATATGACACACTTTGGCAAAAACGATGTTGATGCTTTGTCACATGAGGAAAAATCTGGCAAAGATATTATGAATAAGAATCAGGATCAAATATCCTCAGATAGAAATTTAGATAGGTCATACAGAAGTGGTGAAGGATCAGGCCGTATTGGTGAAGAAATTTTACATCACCTTGAGAGGAAGCGGACATCTAAACATGGCAAAGTAGGTGGAGACGGCTTGCCTCCTATTGGCATTCCTAATTTGGCCATACCAGACGAAGTACACTTCGAACACAAGCAAACTAGGAATTTAGGCGAGATTAGTGGTGGCAAGGACGATTCAGGAAGTAGCAAGAGAAATCAGCTACCGAAGAACGATGAATCTCTAGATCTAGACATCGAGATTAAACCACTTACTGTATCTGATAGCAAGTATTTTGATGAAGATAAATCAAAGCTTAGTTCTATACCTAAAAAGCCAAACAGGGATTCAGAAGTCATTCAAAAAATTGAACATGTTCGAACAAATATTGTTAGTAAATCTGCATCGAAGAAAACAAAAGTTGGCGTCCTTGTCGGTGGTAAATTGGACCAAGCTAAGGCAGATATTGTTCAAAACAACAGTCCTGATCCTACGTATGATAAGGTAAAGGATTTCTTTAAAAGTCAACAAGTCAGTTCTATCGTTGATGCACCGCTGGCGGAGAAGAAAGAACCAGTGAAATTATATAATATACCACATGAGGAAAACGTGGATGTCAAACGGAGCTCTATACCCAAGCCTATCATCCATCCTGATCGTATCAGATTGGATCTAAAAGAAAGGTAAGCAAAGTAAAGGTAAACTAGCTTTATGCCAATTTTTAGTATTTTACCATTTACAATAGTTAACTTCAAATATGGAAACCAAAGGGTAAACGGAAAGCACCTGGGCGTCCGTTGATTCTTCTCTGCAGACCTGGAAATATATATAGAGGATGGACCCTGGAGGCCTTGTTCCAAGAAACGTTTTGGTTCCTTGTACAGCTTCACAACAGCCTAAAGTTGGAAATTCAACTGAATGGATTTTGCTTTAGCGCTACACATAAGGAATTATGGTTAATGGAGTTAATCTATTGAAATATATACACTGCAACAACCTGGTTTTCAAAGAAATTAGTTGGTCATTATAGCATAGGAATTATTTCAAGGTCTGGCTTTTCTGTGGTGCTGCCAAGATTTCCAGAGAAACAATTCGTACAGTACAGTAATTATCTTTCTGTCGTGTATGACTGAAAGTTTAAACATTGTGCCTCAGATAAATCTTTACTAGCAGTGTCTATATATGGTGTATGCTTCAGGAGGTGCATGTCGGTAGTTTACAGAAATTTTATTTCCTTGATGTAATTTTATAATCGATTTTCTAAATTATTCAGTACAGCGTGGAGCATCCTAGCAACCGACTATAATAGTTTAATTAATTTGTTCTTGCAGCTGTAAGTCTGCCATAATATTAATATCAGCTGTGAATAAAACACTCTGATATCGCTCTTTTTTACGCCGTGTATCTGGTTTTTTTACGTATACAGGTTAAACCCGGACAGAGCCAGTGATTTGTTGGATGCTCTTCAAGATTTGCTATGGGGAGATGACGAAAGCCGCCAAGATGCGTTCACTTCAATAGCGTAAGTTATCAGATTATTTTTCAAATAAAGAGATTCTTGCCATTGTTATATCTGTGATATCTTCTGGCAGCTGGGTATTGTTGTTCTACGAGATTTGTACAAAGTCAAAAACATAAATATATGTACAGTGAAAAGCAGACATACCGTATTTAAATTTATATACGTTTTTAAATATAAGTCGTTTTGAATGCCAACATCATAGGCAATAAAACAGATTATTAAAAAGGTGCGACTCCTTTTCATCAAATTAGTATTTTGAAAAGTTGTGCTGCATGCAGTGAAGCGGTCGTGTAAAATGTAGTTTGTACCACCACTGTCATAAAACAGATAGGATTAATGTCGCTGTTCTAGATTGTACGGCTATACATGAACATTGTCATTGATTTAAATTAAAATATTAAAATATCGGATACAATCTACTCGCAAATCGAAGTCCTTCGAATCCTTTAGAACTCAGTTGCCTTACGATACAATTGGAATTTGGTATATTAGATGCACGACCCAAAAATATTGTTTTACTGCTGATCATAAATAATCAAGCTGGTCTGCCCCTCTGCTTCTGGACTGGATTTGATCATTTGGTTGCTATACAGCATATATAATTGTAAAGTAATAATATATAATGTCATGAATCGCCATTTGCATCCATAGCAACGTTGTTCTTGGAAACAAAATTGGGCTGTAGTGATTACGGATTACTGATTGCACTATTATGTATTAATGGTAGGGATACTCCACAATGGAAAGACTGGTTCCAGAGATGTTAGAAAAAAGTAGATTAAAGATAAAGAGCAGAGCCCAGCAAATAACTATAAAACCAAACATAATAAAAGTAAAAAACGTATTAGCTAACGTTTCGTTGTTTACAATACAACATCTTCAGAGCAATCTAATGAAACGTTAGCTAATAATTTTTTTACTTTTATTATGTTTGGTTTTAAAGTTATTTGCTGGGGCTCTGCTCTTTATCTTTAAACTAAGACTTCCGTCTGGTGTATCAATTGCCACAGTTTTAAAGAAGTAGATTAATTTAGGTATATCATTCCCTTTCAGGACTGATGAGAACACAGTGTTATTCCACCTGCTTAATAACACAACAACCAACAGAGTGAAACCTTCGCATGTTGTGCAGAGGATCAATAAAGGTAGAACTTTTGAATTGTACAGCTTGTATTACTGATCTCATAGCTAGTGCAGAGATTAATACACTTTTCTACTACTGGTGTACGACAATAAAAACTCAATCATCAGTTGAGTCTTGAAACTCAATCTTTCTCCGTAATTATATTTTGCGGAATATATATGCTTTGAGGAAATTGGCAAATGGGAATAATTATAATTGTAAAAGGAAGAAAGTACTTGCATTGATCGTTGTACTGTATATTCTTCAACACGCTGTTAAAAATCTGTTTTAAAACCGTTGTATTTTTCTCAAAAGTGCAGTCTGAAGGCGAAAGATGTTATTTCGTAGAGACAAATGAAGAATTTACCGGGGGTGGGGGGTTTGAGGAGAAGTAGGGTAGAGTTCTCTTTCTAAAACTCAATCTTCTTTCGTAAAAACATTAGTAGACTAAGGCTGCGTTTACACTATGACGCTACGGCAAATTTACCGTAGTGTAGTGATTTGCATCCGGAGTGCCAACGTAGTGGTCCGTAATTAATACGCTATGGCAAACCACTCCGTTATAGTGTAAACACAATACTAAGAAACTTAGTGAATTTTTAACGAAATTAATTTGTATCCAGAGTGGTAAATGTTGTGGTCCGCAGTTAGTACGCTACGGCGAACCACTCCGTTATATAGTGTAAACACAATATATATAGTCTCAATACCAGAAACGTAGTAAATTTTTAACAGAGTGTTAGCCGTAGCGTCATAGCGTAAACGCGGCCTAAAATGCTTATATTAATCCTTGATAGTGGGCAGTTGTATGTTAACTTCGATCCTTTTGTTGTGTTTGCTGTTCCTGATGCTTTTTGTTGTACAGAAAATGCAGGGCGATACATGAGTGGCGTTTAAACCCGGCCGGAAAATGTACGAGGCACAATTGAAAAGCCGCACAGCATATTACAGTATATACCATACGCGTGTCTTACATTTTTCAGAAAGGGCCCGTCTGGCACTCTGCCCCAATTTCCCAGGAACACCACTGGGGGAAAAGGGCCAGTGATGCATTTTTTATTGGTAATAAGCATTCACTACCTTCTTGCGTACTTCACATCGGAGGTGAAACGGACTAATTGAGCATTAACGTTTTTTTCGAACATGTCCAAATTATTAGTTGAATATTTATCGTATTTTTTCGTTTTATCATTTATCTTTTCCTCCATTATCGAGCTGTTGTAGAGCCCGTTAAGTAATATTTTCGTCAAATGAAGCATGCAGCTTTTTAACCAATTTTTAAGCATATACTGTTATAGATAAATTTGACTGTTGTATACTTATGCTTGACTGTTATAGATAATTCAGTAAAAGACGGTCTCAAGAAAGCTGTTGGTGTAACTGTCTTGTCTGCATCACTTGAGTCGAAGGTACGTATCGTGCACTGACATGGAAATAGAACTGGATACGATTGACTATATTTTGTGTAATGAATGAAGCCGGAATTCAGTCATTACTAGAAGGGACCAGTTGATGACCGTTATAACGTAGAAATGTATTGCTTGAGCCTTGAGATGGTTTGCATGTTATGTTTACCGCACGAGAAGCAGTGTTGTATTCATCAATTGTTGTAGAGAGCTTTTGGTGAATCTAGTACGCGAACGACTGAAAAAACACACGCTAAACTCACAGTGTTAGCAACAGGAGTAAAAACAACGAATTATTTTTGTCAACAAAGACGGATACTGGTGAAAAACAAATTTAAACTAGTAACAAATTCAAAAGTAAAACATAAGTAACTGTTTTTCGTCATGTCCGCGTCCTAGATTAAGGACATCTTCCCTATAATATAATCAATACAGCACGCCGCGAGCGAATCAACTCGTATGCAAACTAGTTACAGTACAAACAGGCGTGGTTGTAACAGAAGAAACAACTAGTGTGTGGAACTAATTACCAAATATTCATTATTTATCTATCTGGGGTTTACTTAGGGTATATATACATGTGACATTATCTTTGAAATTTGATTGGGCGCAAAGCTCGTTAATTATTCGTGAAGTTCACACGATAAAATATATAGTCATCTGCATGGTAAACTAAATGTTTGAGGACATTTTAAAAAGAAATCGATTCATTTCTCCTGGATCAAATTTGGTTCATTAGTAATAACGGAATTATAATGTGTTAGAATACTTGGTGTTCTGCACTAGTGAGGTATTGGTTGCGCTCTCCAGTCTTCTTCTAGATTTCGGATAATAAATTACTGCATGTGCTTCTCAGATAATAAAGTACCTTTATTAACTATTGCAAGAAATTTAAGAAGTTATATTTACATGCAAAAAATCATTTTTGGTTAAGGTATATCTAGTCTGTTTTGCTGCATGACATGTACTCCCGTCCCTTTTGTTTGGACTTACATGTTACCGCATATCATTTTATCGATAGGAAGGTGAAAAGGTACAAAACGGAGACGACGATCATAACTTCATAATGACTACTCTGATTGTAGCTGGTTGTGTCTCTGCCATCTTGTTGGTATCTGTGTGCATCTTTATCATTCTTAGAAGGTATTGTTGTTACTAAGATTCTTCCAGTCATTTGGTCTTAGCGCGACAAAAAGCTTGTGGCATTTCGTAAAACATAACTCCATGACTCCATTTGATAAAGCATATATTCTTTAACGTTTTCCAGAACAAGTAGTAGAGACTATCCCAGATGGGTTCCTAAGCAAGCAGGGCAAGAGGCGGCTTCGGACTATCAGGTAGGGTGTACATGTCAGGTGACATATAGAGAGAGAGTAGTATCGATTTAACCAAAATGTGAATTATTTACTGATGCTGCATAAGTGAAGTAATTTTACAATGCACGAAGTGAAAATTTTAGTCTGGGAATTCTCGCCTTCTGAATGTGCTTAAATTTTAATATCCCTGCTTAAAGGCCCTGTCACATTGACAACTATTGCGTATGAGAGAAACGTATGAGAAGCATATGAAAATTAATGAAATAATTTTCATACGCACAAAAATCCTTTGAAATGCCAGCGTATAAGTACCACATCTGGCGTACCTCTAGCGTATTCAGCGTGTGCCTAGAGTATGCTATCGTATAAAGCATACGTCCGGTACGCACAAGATTTTTGAGCATGCTTAAAAAAATTTTCTGCCTCGCCGTATGCCAGCGTATGCAACCGTGCTTGAAACGTATACAACCTATGCCTAACGTACCCCTAGCGTATGTCAGCGTATACCGGCGTATGAGTGATATTTTTCATACGCTGGCATTTTGCTTACGTTGTTCGATTTTTCTTTGGATCCAGTTATATCAGTATATACCAATAAATTGTTTGGTGCAAATCATATATGTATTCGATAGCATTGCATACGGTAGCAGATACAGGGAATGGGAATTAGCCTTTCTCACGATGGCGAATATCCGCCATTTTTGGGTGGCATCAAATTTTCATTATCCAATGCAGGCAATTAAAACAATGTGAAAAGCAATTTTTCAAAATGAACTAACCATTTACAAAGCAAAATTACCATCATTCGTCCAAAAAATTATAAAAAGTCGCTGTTATGTGGACTTATCGCACAGACTTCGGCTGAAAAGCCACCCAAAAATGGTGGTGTGAGAAAGGCTAATTGGATGCCATCAGTTGTACCGATTCGTAAATGACAAGTGGGGGATCAAATGACAAATTTCAAAGACTTTTTGTAACATACCGGAAACATTGGTTTTGCTCGAGTAACTGCATCCACAACAACAAGATATGGTGCTCACAGAATGACGAAAGATATAACAAAAACTGTTTGTTCGGAAAGAAATGTTAAAGATTGGACTTAAACACGTCTAGTTGCATATCTTGTTGTTTCTTATGGATGTTATTCAGGTAAAACATTAGGGACATTGATTATATTTTCGTGTTACTGTTGTATAGTGTATGTAGTGTATATTGTTATTGTTCTTAACCTTAGAGATATATAAGTGTACAATACACATTCAATATCATCTCCGTCGCTCGCTATATATTTGATTGTTGACTTTGTTTATGTTACGTTGTATAAAATTTGTTCTTTTGAAAAATTTCGCTTTTGTTTTTTCTGTCTTGAACTATTTTACTGTTAATGTCATACCGAAACAAAACGAGAATAATTATAGATCAGAGTATGGCTTGATCTTGTGTAGAATATAGTCGTAAGTGGGGTTTTTTATTCCCATTTCAAAACATTGAGTTCCCTTGTGTGTGTATGTGTGGCATACGTTCATGAAAGAGCGGGTAAATTCGTATTTAAGACTACTAGATTGGTAATGCCAATGGAAACATAAGTCTGTAAATAATGACGTGTTAACAATATATGCATGCATAAATATAAGTTACATGGTAATAATTAATTATCAGGATTACTACATCATTACGGTCTTCAAGTGTTTAAACCATATTTAGACGCTACAGAGTTATCATTCCCACACTCCTGAGAACAACAAGCAATGCTGTCGTCACTCGCATCTTGCGACAATACTAGCCGGCCTAACCTTTCTACAGTAGTCCCTAGTTCCGGTAGACTCACTACAATTATAGGTGTCTTTATACGCTTCCATGACATGGGTGTGTATACTTACTTTTTGCTCCCCTCTCTGGGGGAAAGTCTGGGAGGAAGAAAAAAGCGAGGGAGGAGTGGAAAGTTGAAGGAATGAAGACCTGAGGGAAGAAAAGAATAAGGGAAAATGGGAAAATGGACAATACTAATAAATACCACTAGTAATCATGTTCTTGTATATTCGCAGAGTTTATGGCGCCAGCTGCGACAAGCGACCTGGGATTCTCCCATCCAGACCACTTCCGTTAGTCATTCTGATGATGGTTCTCAAAAAGGTGCACCTGCCCAGAAGGGGACACCACCAAAATATTCTTGGTAAGATATTATTTTCCTATTAAATTTAAAGACTAAATAAATTAGACTATCTCTAGCGCCCATTAAATCATGGGGAATTCCTTATTGGCCGGGTCTAGTGTTACTGTTGGAGAAAACCAGAATACACTCAGAGAATCTAAGGTGCTTGATAGAGTCGAGACAAAATTATAATAAGAAAACTATAAACCGCAGAAGTCGAACTCCATTCATCTAGTAGCTCAACAATCATCGGTATCTGTGGTGGTGGCACCTTCATACTCAAAGTGGGACAACCTATCATCATCAGAACTGCTATATGTTTACTGTAGTTTATATTTAACATGCCACATACTTTACAGGAGCGAAGAACCTGTCGACACCAAGATGGATATATCTACAGGACATGTTGTATTGGTAAGTTAAACCTAAGTATTTTTGGACGAATATTGGTTCACTTTAAAATAAATGACATAATACCTTAAGAACTCGCACGAATATTTCACACTGGCATAGTATAAAAAATCTCGAAATAACTGGAGGTTCTCCACAATCCAAGCATGCGTAATTCTCCTGTATCAGTGTTGTTGAAGTTTCCGTGGATATCATGCATGTGCGTAATTTGGTCACTCGTTTGTTAATATAGGCATACATGGAGGATCATCTCAAGAATGAAAACAGACTTTCGAGAGAATGGGAGGTATGGAGTCACTTATAGTTTATATCAACCACAGCAGTCAGCATGCCTTTGATCATACAAATTAAACTACAAAATCCTGAACTGGTACAATTCTCCCAAACTAGGGGTGAGGGGGTTTGGGGAACACTACTGGGGACTACTTAGGAGAACTGTACCTTATTCAGATATAATGAAATTTATTCAGACGTAATTATTCAGATATAATGAAATTTATTCAGACGTCATTATTCAGATATAATGAAATTAATTCAGATATAAGAGAACTTTCAGATAGAGGAAATTTATTTAGATATAAGAGAATTTTCAGTACTTTGTCCCCTCGTCCATTTTTACACCACTGTTAAAATTGGTGTGGGCAGCTCCACTTCGCTCAAACAGCGATCATTAACAATATTAACAATACTTAAGGTAAATTTTCACCCTCTTGCAGGATTTGAGTGTGTACGAAGCTGAACCAGATCGCACTGATGTTGGTAAAGATCCCAAAAATAGCAAGAAAAACAGATACAGCGATGTATTGCCATGTAAGATCACTATATTAGGAACCCATAAACAATGTAGTCACTTTTTGAGGCTAAATAATATAAACCATCGTTTCATTTATACCGCCTTCTTTTATCCCTTCACAACAAGTCACATGTTTGCTGATTAGATTTTCAAATTTGCTTGGACGTCAACCATAGTTTGGTATACTCTTATATTTTACTTTAGATGATCACAACAGAGTCAAACTTCGAGATACTTCAAATGCCACTGGATTAGATTACATCAATGCGAGTTATATAGTAAGTTCATGAAATCATTTTCATATTCGACGGATAGGTTGAATTTTGTCCAGTCAACAGTATATGGTTTTATTTTCCCAGGATAACAATTTCAGTATTATAATTTTGAGAAAATTATAGATGAACTTGTGGTTAGAGCTCGACAACTGGACTCTATAGCTCAGTTGGTTAGAGCACTGGCCGCAGGTTCGATTTCTGGCCTATAGTTGCATTTTTCGAAGCTGCTCCTGGTTAGGTCTTAATAAATGTATGAAATTGACACTCGAATTTTCAGGAACAAAATCCTTCAATTTGGACTTACCATTTATACGTCGGACTCGAACGACAAATGCGAGTTTGCTTCTGCGGAAACATAAAAATTTCCAAACTGTTTTCCCATTCGTCGTAGCCTGATTTCGTCTCGTTCGTAGCCTGATTTCGTCTCATCGAGTGAGATGCCCAATAACATCCCTATAATTTTGAGAGACCACAAAGTTGTGTAACCGGAAGTGTAACTACAATGAGACATTGTAACCCTTGGCTAGACACACACATCGGCATACCTGCTGAGGTCTGGTATATTGTGTGGTAAATTTAACCACCTTTTTATCTGCTCTCACATTAGTATCTGACATGCATGCTTTTTTACTTCAGATCGATGATGATCCACGCAATCCGGCTTATATAGCGACGCAAGGTCCTTTGGCAAGTACCGTGGCAGATTTCTGGCAGGCAAGTTTCTTCTTGAACAGCGTTGATTTGGATGGCGTTATGTTATTCATCCATGTGTGTCAATATACAGGGTGTATAAAAAAAACTGAACAGATTTGAAATTGCTCTCAATTTCGCAAAACAGCTATTATTATTCAGTTTTTGATATATACAGTTTCTTTGGGTACTTATAATGTAGAAAAGTGAAAAAAAATTCTCGAACTCAAATTTTGTGAACCAGGGTGGGTCTTTTCCAAGAAACAAAAAATGGCTCGCGCACGAAATTTAAAAGCTTTAATCATATTTTAAGTTAATAGATGGAAAATGTGTTGGGTTTTTAATTACTGTACAACTTTCAGACAATTTGCTTTTGTTTAAGCCCTTTAACTATTCGCGTAAATAGTTAAAGGGCTTAAACTAAAGCAAATTGTCTGAAATTTTGTACAGTAATTAAAAACCCTACACAAATGTTCCATCTATTAACTCAAAATATGATTAAAGCTTTTAAATTTCGTGCGCAAGCCATTTTTAGTTTGTTGGAAAAGACGCACCCCCCTGGTTCACAAATTTTGAGTTCGAGAATTTTTTTTCATTTTTCTACATTATAAGTACCCAAAGAAGCTATATACATCAAAAACTGGATACTAATAGCTGTTTTGCGAAATTGAGAGCAAATTCATATCTGTTTTTTTTATACACCCTGTATTTAGTCGATTCAACATAAGGACGCCTATAAGGGCTGGTTTACACTATCAAAGTTTCTGTGATCACAATAGGAATTTTGCATCTAGCCAATTCTACGTTTTGCAAGAAATGTTTGTGGGAGTTGACTCAGTCATGTTTAACACTGTGTTAGTTCCATCAAACTTTTCTTACAAATACTTTAAAACGTAGAATTTGCCTATGCAAAATTCCTGCTGTGATCACAGAGTCAGAAACTTTGATAGTGTACACCAACCTTAACTAAAGTTGTTTAGAGAAAATCAAAGCTCTTTTAATTTCCACTCATACAAAAGCCAATTAGCAACTGGCAAGCTCGCTACGAGTGCTTGCATCTAATTGAAATAAACTGTCGGGCATTGTGATTGAATGAAAACACTCGCAACGAGCTTGCGAATTCACTTTTACAATGAATGGAAAAGAGACTTCAGACGAACTTATAGCTCGAACTTGTTCAAACATATACAGCGACGAGAGCAGCAGAAATGTATACAAAACGGGTTACGTCCGACATTTGGCCAGTCTACTTTCCTAATGGCGTCAACTTTATTTCTTCCATAGATGGTCTGGGAACAAGGTGTTGTGGTTATTGTCATGTTGACTAAGTTGGCTGATCTAGGACTGGTAAGTAGGAAAATTTTGTGAAGCTACGTGTACACATCAGGCCAATTTTATATCCACTTTAACGAGAAAAATCCTGAAAAATGCGTCATTATCAAAAACAGATATTTCATTTTTCATAAAATTCAATGATGAAACGTCGAATTAACATTCTAATCCACCGAGCCTGTTAAGTTCTGTTGTCTTCTAATGTAGCGATACAAGACATTGCATATAGACTTATCCGAGTTTGACGTCGAAATAATAATATTCACCCAGTGTGATTTATTTGTGTTTCTCTAAATTATAGCCTCAGTGCCATAGATACTGGCCTCAGAAAGGACACGAGGTGTATCACATTTATCAAGTAAGTTGGTTTTTCTATTGCCAAATTGCACTGAGCAAACGGTCACTAGGGCCGTAGCGACGAGGGTAGAATCTAAAGTTTGTTCGTTCACTGCAACCAGGTATATCAATCATGTTTCGTTCGCTACTTTGGTTTAAATAAATTATTACAAAGCCCAGTCGAATTGTAATCAAGACCCAACGTTTCGACACTCCAGTCTAGTAATCGATATTGTGCTGACTTATTTTGTGTTACTTATTTTCAGGTGCATTTAATATCAGAACATATCTGGTGTAGTGATTATCTAGTTAGGAGTTTCTATCTCAAAAATGTGCAGGTATAATAATTTTTGTTGACGTTATTTCCACACCGGGCAAGCTGAAACATTGGCGGGAATCGAAACCGCGACTTTTGGCTTGATAGTCCAAGAGCCAATCAGCTAACACATGCATGATCAACGGGTACTAGCTTATGTATAGAAGACCCACAGTCTCTCACTTGATTCCTTGTACGTAGTACAATTCTGCAGTGGTAGATTTATGTAGGGGGGTGTGTACCTGTTGTATGGTCAACAGGGGTGTGCAGGGGGTTGCAAAAAAATAAATTTATATCTTAACTGTTTGAGGTATTCAAAGTTTTTTATCAGTCTTAGACTAATTTAAGTTTTGGAATTCAACGCAGCACCACAGTACTAGTTCAAAATACCAATAAGTCCTTTGATTGAATGAAGCAAATTCTTAATTTTGCTGGAAACGTCTAACATTAAAGTATTTGATAATGAAGAGAATCTGGGATTTATATTATATATAATTAATTATTAAATTATATTTATTCAACATATCTGTGAATTGTAACCGAGAAACTACTATGTGAACTTTCATGACAGTACGCTAGCTGTTAGCCAGCGCTGGGTTCGGTGTGCTTGGCGAGCAGCCCAGCACCCCCCTAAAAAACCTTCCTGGATCCACCACTGTAATTCTGTACGATTATTATTTCTGTACAGTCTATACATGGTTACGGACGTTGCCGGCAAATTCAAATTTTTGGTTAATGTCAGCATGGGAAAAAGGCCTCCAGTAACCACGAATTTAATTTGCACATTGTGAATGGCAACGATCAAAAACTTGCGATTAGGTTTAGTGTGGTAATTTTCTATAAAATACGTACTATATTGTGCTTTCCGTTTCGGATTTCCTAAGCATTGGATTTTTTCTGTGCACTTAGACTGGCGAGACGAGAACCGTTACCCAGTTTCATTACTTGACTTGGCCTCATCTTGGAATACCATTTTCTTCAAAACCGCTTTTGGATTTTAGAAGGTACGATCCAAATAATGAAACTAGTTTACCGTTGTTTTTTGTCTGCATGCGCATTTGTAATTATTTGTTTGTTAAAGTTTGTATTTCTTTGTTTATCTGCCTGACTGCATATTGTTTTTTTGTGTGTATGTTTTATCCTATTCTTGGGTTTCACTACGGCATTATACAGTGAATCTGACGGGGAGTCAACCTCAAATGTATTGATGCTTATGCTGTACTGGAGTGAGAAAATGATACGAAATTCCATGTATTTGTCACTAAACACAAGGCTAATACATAAAACAAGCAATCGACTCACTCTTATAACTGTGTTTTGTTTTATAACTGTGTTTTGTTTTATAACTGTGTTTTGTTTTATAACTGTTTTGTTTTAGAGTTGCCCCCCCCCCCGCGTCACTTTTGTGACGTCATATGAAATCCAAGAATTGCCATAAATATTTCGTATAAATTGTGCTTGTTGGCAGTGTTTTGTAACTGCATGACAATGTTATTCATTACAAAATTGTTTCGTGAACGATTGCTACCCTCGTCAGGAAAATGTTGCGTACAAACTTCATGATGTAATCACGTATTTACGAGATTGCCGTCTATTTCTAGGAAAGTTCTTAAATGTTTCCGAAGTCATTCTTGCCCAGTGGTTGTACACTGTAGTGGTGGTATCGACAGAACTGGTACATACATTCTTATTGATATGGTACTCAGTAAGATGTCAAGAGGTAAGCTACAATTAATCAAGGCCAGACAGAATTTGGCCGGACTCTCGTGTGATTTTGCAAATTAACTTTCAAATACAGTATATGAAACTTATCTTTACATGCATTTCCCCTTTTCCTACGTTGCTTCTCGTTATGATGTACACTTGGTATTTAATGGCAGGGGATCCAACATTGGGGGTACATAGGCAAAAGACCTTTGGAAAGTACGTCACCTTGGCATAGCTTCGCCTTCGTGGTAGGTCGACGTTTTATGGCCAACTTAGGTAATATACTTTCCAGAAGGGTAGCAACACCGTCAGAGTTCTAGTGGAAAAGTCATTCATACTGTACATGGGTCAAAGATATTAAAATTACACGAGTATACTAAAGACGAGTGCAAGTTTGAATTCCCAAGAAAAAAAGTTATTTAACATATTTTCTTCTCTAGGAACAAAAGAAATCGATATTGCCGCAACTTTAGAACATTTACGAGATCAAAGACCTCAAATGGTTAAAACCAAGGTTGGTGTTTAATTTTTGTTCTCTATGTTGGTGCGTCGATATCAAATGTATGGCGATCTTCAAATAATGTACCTATTACATGCATATAGCTTTCCACAAAGCAAAATATTTTTAGCCTTTTCTTCAGTAAAATCAAATGTTGTTTTCTATAGGCTCAATTCGAGTTTGCATTGGCCTCCGTCGCTGAAGAAGTGAATGCCATTCTTCAGGTCCTGACGAAACATTAGACGCAGATCAAACCTGGCGTTGATAGAATCGTCAAAAATTATAATTCTATTGATGTGATGAAAATGAAGTGATGTAAATCAAGATAACGGTGTTATTCTTGTGTACATGTAATGATATACAAGAAACTGTTTATTTTCTGATTTCTGAACACGTCAAAGTCTGTTTAAAAAGAAATGATAATTAGCCTTGAAGCATCACAAAAACCTATATTCATGAACTCGCTAGGAAAGTTTACCTGAACGTCTAATAAGAACAAGCTAGCCGATTGCCATTCGTGCATTCTGATTGGTTGCAACTTCGTGCTACTAGGTTGCGAACTGGTTGTTTTAACAGACTTCGAAATGTTTGGAAATCAAATGATCAATGAATTTTAAGTGTATTTTAGAACATCAAATAACGGACAACAACGAGGAACGTTTTAAATATCCGTCAATCAGAGATTAGCCTGTGGTCAGTATTTCCTGTTTTCTTATCTTTGAGCGTTAATTTTAATTCCCTTCAAATTCAAGTAGCGCACTCTTTCCGTTTCAAGCTCATTAGGTGGAGATTAAAAATTTTATTCTTGAAAAATCAAATTACAACGTGTGAGTGAATTTCATGACATTTACATATATTAAGATGATGTAAAATTTATACTGTAGCAAAAGCTGCGCCATAACTATTTGATGACAATCTCTATATAAAATGGTATTTCACGTGGTGAACTACGAGCCCTCCTCAAACCCAACTTTCCCCATATGTAATATTACTGATTTGATTGGTCGTTTGCAAAAGATGGCACATTGATTCTACGTTAACGCGAACACACTGCTAATTGAGTTTGACAAGAGTCAAGATCTTCAACGATGCCCTATAGGCTATATGGCTATAAAGAACCTGCGTTATGGTAACACCGCGGTCATGCATATACGTCCGTGTATTGACTACTTCTACTGGAAATAGTATTGTCTTCACGAAGCTCTAAATCAGTATAACTTCTTGTCACAATTAAGATGATGAGGTGGAATTCCCGCACTTATAGCTTTAGGCGTTTCCTTATATAGACGTAAATGATGTTCTCGTATTAAACTCCTATTATTTTGACAGACATTTTCCCCGCATTTTCGCGTGTCCCTTACGGTAGGTTCTTTCTGTTCTTTTTTCACATTTTTTCAAATGTTTTCCTTAGTGTTCCGTTCTGCATGGCAATGTTTGAAAGGTAATGGACGAGAAGGAGGTTTTCAAGGTAGTTCAAAATGTAAACTCAGAGTTTGCTTAGTTTAGGGTTATTGTTAGGATTAGGTTTAGGGTAAGTTTTAGGGCAAGGTTTAGGATTGCTATAAGTGCTGGGCTGTCGATTCTTTCGCGTTTCAACGATCTTGAAAAATAGCCGCCATCTTCAAAACCTCCCTCTCGTCCATCTCGTATAGCTGTAACCTGCGATGAGCCAATTTTGAGATCAACAGGCCTGCCACCTGTTGCTTTTGGGGGTTGGGGACACTTTCAAACAGTTGACGCAGAAGTGTTTCGTATATTATGTAAAGCCGATCCGAGTCTACTCAATCACGTTCGATAGACCCTTAACAAATTTGGTTGTCATGACTAAATCAGTAAGTGCAACACCGAATCGAATGACTATTTTTTGCAAACGATCAATATGTAACTGTTATGTTACTATTAATGATTATTATTAAATAAGTAGTATATAACCAACTAAATCCAATGATGATTATTAAAATACTCGGGCCCGTTTCAGACGGCGTACCTTTCACATGTACCTAACTTAGTTGTTTTAGATGCGACGCTGGAGCGATACAAGAACGGCAGTGACTCGAGCGGCGTACAAAATTTGTTATTGACAATGTTTATTAACAATTACAATTACTCGGTTTGGAACATGAGTAGAGCGGCTAATGAATCGATGTCGCTCCAACGTTTGCATAACTCGACAAGCTCTAGCTGCCAAACTTGTGTCGAACATTTGTCGCTCCAAATTCTGCCGTATACTTAATTGTGCATATGTCGCTCTGCTGCCCAATCTCGTACCCAGCCATACCTAATTCGTCATTAAGTTTGGCACGTGAAAAGTACACGCCGTCTGAAACGGGCCTTAGAACGTACATTTGTAATATGTATTGTATATATCTGTGACACTATAAAATTCTGAATACCATGCTACTATGTAAAATTGTGTGGAAATATATCGAATTAAAACTATGTATGTAAAACTATGTTTTTAAAATTTTTATTTAAATCGCTTGTCACATGAGTGAAGCGGCGCAACGTCGCTCCAAACTTCGTATATAAAATGTGACAGGCTCTGCCAATACACTTCTTACCTCAATTGATTCATGATTGGAGCCGCGTGATAAAGTCTCAAGTTGTCGCCATGCTGCCTCGTCCCCAGTCGCTTGCTATCAAATAATTAATTAGTAAAAGACGAAAATTAATGGGGGCGCGCGGGACGATGGGAAGGGGAGGAGATTTGGCTGAACAACAGATTTGTTCAGCCACTGATCTATATATTAAACTGATATGTCTATATATACACTGATCTACAAATAGTAAGGGCCTGCGGAGGAGGCAGGTCGCCATGCATGTCTGTTAATGAATAGTCAATAATATTCGTTAGTCAATTCCCCAATTAATGATATGTGTGGCGGCTACCTGGCAAAATTAGCCGTGTCGGAAAACCAGATGAGTCTATTCACAACGCGCTTAATGATATATGCAGTGTTAAAATACACCACAATAATGTGCATGCACCCTTTGTGGACAAATTAAATATAATGAGATTAATGGTAATGAAGTAAGCTAGGGCTACGCATCATAAGTCCAAAACAGGGCGCTTATATATATATATATAAGCGCCCTGGTCCAAAAGGACAAGAAATACGCCATTCACGCTCAGTTCACAGCGGAGTCCTGAAGGGACGAACGGCCCACCCTCCTACCCAAAAAAATGCGTGCGTCATGTTCCTCCCTGGAGTAGCCAAGCTGGGACAGCCTGGCCAAGAGGTAAGGTCTGCTGATCAATAATTTGCCCATGAGCGATACGTATTGTGAAATAGATTACTGTTTTAACTGTTGATGGGTCTTGTAGATGGAAATTATCTCGAGTGGAAATTTTATGTACTAAATAGTTAAAACATGAGCAGCAGTGTTTTATCAGATATAAAGATACGAGGCGAAGCCAAGTATCTTTAGGTCTGATAAAACACGCACTGCAAACGTTTTAAATTGCTTCAGAAACGATCGATCTAGTAAGATCATTGGCGAAGTAATTTTAACGGTGTGTATAAGTCAAGAAAATCAAAGTTAAAGTTTATGTAAATTATGGGAAATCTCTATATCTCACATAAAGATACGACGCGCTTATGATTTTTCTTGCATGTGTTTTCCTCCGACATTATTAATTAATTAATGAGTTTTTGAATGACCAGCAGCGAATGACCCTGGCAGGAATCGAACCTGCGGCCCTGCGATTCTGGTGCAGCGCTCAATATATATTGAATTGGTTTAATCTATATACATGACTTGCGATTGAATTGTGATTGAATTAGTTTAACATCAGAACTAAAAGAGCAATGACAATAAAACACGTTTATTGGCATTCAGCGATGTCTAACTTAAATTTTGATATATGCCATGCACATTTCCATGCCATATTGACAAAGATATGTGCATTTGAACAAGAGTAACATTTTTGAAACTGAGAGAATTAAGCTAAAAACGGCCTATTAAATATTAATACCTTTATATACAAAAACAACTTGTGT